ACTTGGTTAGAACACAACTAATGGACTCAGGGACAGTCTTTGTCTGTGAAAATTAATCGAAGAAGTTCATCAAAATTACCAAATAGAAACATATCAGTCCTTTTTTTGTTTGAAATGGGGGATTAAATGATAAGAGCAGCAGATGAAAACTGAAATAGTTTCCTTCCTGTTAGGCAGTTTGTAAGCAACGCATGAAAAACCTTTTGGCAAAAGTGCAACTCTCCTGCTCATGGGTCATTGCAGCTTTAAGAGCTACAGGAAAATAACCGGCCCTGCCCTCCATCATCCCCTCATCCTGCTGACCTCTAACGTAGGGTATAGTATACTTACAGCACATACGGAGAGGGAGACGGAGAGGAAGAAGAGGAGAAAAGAGAATGATTGCATATCTGAAGGCTTTAAGAGAGTGGCTATGGATGGGAGAGAGGAGTGACATGCTCGGACACATCTTTGCTTTCTTATTAGTGAGAGCTAGTGCGGACACTCTGGGCCCTTTTTATGGCGCCATGATGAAACCCCTCTACGTGCATCTGTGGAAAATGGCCAGGGGAAATCACAGATGAGAATCACTCAAAGACAGGGAGATGTCAACAGGCCCATAATGATAGCTGATGGCTCCAGAACACTCTCCCCTCTTCCCTCTCAGCCTTTACCTGCCCAAGTTGCACTACCCTTGAAAACATAATTAGAGGTAAAACAGAGAGACGGAAGCTTTATCTCTGTTTTAGACATCTGGGAGTCCTTTTTACCCCCTTCCCAATCTCTCTTTCACTTCATGGAGAGAAGAAGGAGGAGGAGAGCTCCCTCTGCGAGACGCCAAGGTGCTCCCAGTCCATTGTGCTGCTTGCTGTCAGGTTAAATTAGGGAGTACAGGCTCTGTGAGTGTAAAAAAATCAATACTTGATGGAAGATTGCTCCCCGGAAAATCTGTTTTGATTCCAGGATTAATTCTTGACCAAAGGCTCCTGCAAAATGACATGCCATTAGGCTGAAAATGAACACATTCTGCAGTGGAAATTGGATGGAAATGTGTCAGGTGATTGCCCCGGCTGCTTGTTTGGACTCTTCAAGCAAAGTGAATGGGGGGGGACTTTAAGGTGTGGCGGCCGCAGACCAGGCCTGCAGGCCGACTCCATTTCCAGAACAGGGACATCTCCGCTGTGGCCTCCTTGTATTCTCAGGGCCATTGTTGTCCAAGTAGCTGCAAATGCACTCCACCGAGGTGAAATGCATTTTAACATCCGTCCACTCTCTCCTGTGTTTGTAAAGTGTGGCATGAAGAATGAGAGAATCTCAGAAATAAAATAACGGGGACTTTTCCCCCCCTTTCTCTCACTACTCAACAGTGGGGGGAAAAAAAGGTGCAAAAATGCATTATTGATGAGTGAATAATGTGTTTGTCATGACAGATGACATTTCCTTGCTTTGAAAAGTTAAGCAGAAGACTGTAAAGATGCAGTGGACAGCCAGAAAAGACCATTTATGTATTTCAGTGATTCCCAATGCTCCAACAGCATATTTCTTATGGAGCCTTTGGCTCAATTTATCTGTCATTCATTGTTTTTTCATGCATTGCCAACCTGACTGAAATAAAAACAAAACTACATATCAAATGGTTTTGCTCCCAACATTTTTTACTGTGTTAAATGTTATAAACAGGGCTTAATAAAGGAAGGCAATCAATGTACTTTTATATGTTTTTCTTAAATACATCTTCTGTGTCCAAGGATCCATTTATTCCCTTATTCTGGAAATAGCCTACTTAAAGCACATGAGCATTTAATAATGTGTTTTAAATGAATGCCATACAGTTTATTTAAAAAATTAGAAGTTGTTTAAATCCACATTTATATCTTTAGATTGATCAAAACCTTTTAAAAACCACAAAATTAAATGCTAAATGAAAAAGAACATTTTTGAGCTCTTTCTCATTCCTCTGTCTAATAAAAGTGTAAAATGCTTTAAGAAATAACCTAAATAAAATCTTACCGGTTTTACACATTTGATCAAGATACCTTTATCATGAGGATTTAAAAGAAAAGACAGAAAAACAGAACCTAAATGAACTGAAAGCATCTTATCAAGTACTGCAGCTGTAACCTGGTTTGCTATATAAAGTGAGGCTGCAGCGCCCCCTGCAGGTGTTACCTGTCATTGCCCTGATAATCATCATACTTGTCTCGCAAAAATGTAACTTTGCAGAGATTGTTGATGCATAAATAACCTTTTGAGGAACCTGAGATTAAAACTAGACTGTTTTGATTAATTTGAATATTATCACAAGATGGAACTATAACTTAAAACCAGAGCAAGGTGCATTTTCGAATGGTTGAAGAAACATAACTTTAAGAAATGTGAAGGAAAAAGAGGAATAAAAAAACTAACAGCTGTTTATTTTATTCCAACCGTGTCATTGCAGATTTAATCAGTCTGATCATTTATATTTTGGGTCATCGGTTCATTTTAACTCCATATTTGAAATATTATTCACTGCAAAAAAATTTAATCTAAATAAGTATTTTTTTTTCTTCAAATAAGTGCATTTTTTCTTGAATTGAAGAGGTAAGTGAGACACTTTGCGATTGAAACAAGACAATTTACATTTAAAATAAGAAAAAAAAACAATTGCATCCTCTTATTTCAAGTATATTATCTAATTATCTTATTTTAAGAGTAAAAATACTCATTCCAGTGGCATATCAGCTTAATTTAAGACATTTGTACTTATTGCTAGATAATTTTTGCAGTGTTGGTAGATTTGAGATCTTTCTGATCCCTGAATAATTTTAAAACATGGTTACGGGCACTCTGGTGCATAGAGCATGTTGTGTTTAGCAAAGGATCAGTAATAAATTGCTGTTTTCAGCCCCACAGAGACAAATACTAGCCCTTTCTATGCTATTACAGCTACATTGTTTTTTGGGTAAAAATTATTTGCATCAAATGTGACTCTTTTTCACATGCTTCTTTCCAAAACTGCATAATTTGTTTTACTCTTACATACAGATGTTTAATTAGATTTTTGACCATTTAAAAAAAAAATGACTTGATTTAAACTGTTTAACTTTGGGTCTTGAGGTTTTCTGGCAGGTAGACCCCCTTCGAAGTCTCTTCTAAAGTCTCTTTCAGCTCAGGACTATCCTTGATTTAGGTGCATCAATCCTTCCTCTTAACTCTGACCAGTTTATTTTAAGTACAGCATCCCAAAGAATGATGTTGCCACCACCATGTGCCTCCAAGGAGGATGTCATCCATTTGTTTCAGACTGCATTGTTGGCTTCTTTTTTCACCTTAAGTTTTAACTATTTGATATGCGCACCTTCTTTCACATTTTCAATAACACAAATAGTCATTGGTTTTCTTCAAGTGATCATGGCCTGGTTAGTCTTCAACTCAAACCGCAAATACGTACTTTATTTCACTCTACACACAATGGTGGTATCAGTTCAGTTAGATTGAAAAATACTCTATTGATTCCAAAGGGATATTAAATGAAATATGAAGTCCAGCTTAGACCGCTGGTTTTAAATTCCACCTCTAAACAAGAGAAACTTTTCTTAACTTCCTCACTAGAGGAGTATTTTATGTTTTCAAAATAAGGTGCCAATCAAGTTCCTTTTCTTCTTCTTCTTTTTTTTTTTTTTTTTTTTAGAAATAGTGATGGTTCTAGAGTAATTTAATGTGTGCTCACACATGTGACTGACTTGGTAAAGCATGCTAAAAGAATAACATCCATCTTCTCTTTCAAACAAACATATCTAGTAACACATGAAACAGCAAAAATACACCTTTTTAATGATAAATAACTATTTGATATGCGCACCTTCTTTCACATTTTCAATAACACAAATAGTCATTGGTTTTCTTCAAGTGATCATGGCCTGGTTAGTCTTCAACTCAAACCGCAAATACGTACTTTATTTCACTCTACACACAATGGTGGTATCAGTTCAGTTAGATTGAAAAATACTCTATTGATTCCAAAGGGATATTAAATGAAATATGAAGTCCAGCTTAGACCGCTGGTTTTAAATTCCACCTCTAAACAAGAGAAACTTTTCTTAACTTCCTCACTAGAGGAGTATTTTATGTTTTCAAAATAAGGTGCCAATCAAGTTCCTTTTCTTCTTCTTCTTTTTTTTTTTTTTTTTTTTAGAAATAGTGATGGTTCTAGAGTAATTTAATGTGTGCTCACACATGTGACTGACTTGGTAAAGCATGCTAAAAGAATAACATCCATCTTCTCTTTCAAACAAACATATCTAGTAACACATGAAACAGCAAAAATACACCTTTTTAATGATAAATAGTATTTCCTTTGCATCCTTTCTGATGAATATATGCACCTACTGGAACTTGCATAATTTCCAGCTTTTGTGTGATGTGTGAATCATGTACACTAGCACCTACACCTTATTTATCTTGATATACTGTATATACCTTGATATACTCTATATATATTGTTTATTCTTAATGTACCTTTTCCCTCCTTGTTTGCACCTTCTTTAATTACTATGCCAATATGTGACCAAAGAATGTATCCACTGTGTGATCAATAAAGCTCATCTAATTTTGCATACCAAACTATGTAAGCCAATAGTTAATATCGACTCTAAGTAATATTTACTTATATTTACTTTTCCCATTTACATAAATTTTGCTTTTAAAACCAGATTACTTGATTTAACTCAGCCTTTCTCTTTACGGAATATATTATTATTGTTATTATTATTAATATCATTATTATTATACTCTAAAATAGGTGGACATAAGGGTTATGAAAATAAAACTTGACTTTGTTGATTTACTGCAAAAGGAATCAGGAAGCAGAAGATATCAGGTTCCTTGATTTAGGTGCATCAATCCTCCCATTAAATTGTATAAAATAGTTTTTTCTCTGTTTTTGTCTTTTGCCATGTGGTCCACACTCCTTACCAGTTGGTGGCGGCAATGCTCACTTAACGTTTTAACCAACCGCCATAAAACATTCAAGAAGAAGAAGTGGGGGTTCGTAGCCTTGCTCTGCGCTCCAGGCCAGCAGGTGGCGACATCATTTCTAAACGCTGTAACACTGAGGTATCTAAATCTTCCTCTACTGCACCGGTGTGACAGATCAACTGGGGAGGAGATCAACTGGTGACGGCAGCTGGAAAACCGCTGATTTTTGCAGATGTGTCTGTGGGCGGGGCTTTTCAGGACCCCTCGCCTCAAACAGGAAGCAAACTGCGCGTAGACTCCAAGAACTACAAATTATCTTATTATCTGATCGATGCGAAATACGTTGAGATCTTTAGAAGTCACCGTCAGCAAGGTATTTAATTGCATTAAGAAAACATATAGCATGTTTTAGGGATTTCTCCAAACCCGCACACAGAGATTTGAGGAACTTGTCCTGCTGTTGTTTATCTGTTTGTTTCAGAGCCTCAGCGATGAGAGAAAGAACCGAGTAGAAAAACCACAGAAAGCTGTATGAGAAGTAAAAACAGCCAGTGCAATAAAAGGTCAATGGGAACAACTAACGGTGTATTTTTCTGCATTTTTCTGTCGTCCTGTATGTCTTGTAAAAAACGAGCGAAAATAAAAATGTCCTCTTTTTTTTTTTTCTCAAAAGCGCCGACTGTTTATATGGAGGGAAACTAATCACTTACAGTCCAACTCGCTTCCAGAGGAGTTATAAATGTCTTTAAAGTTTAAGATGTGTTGCAGGAACAAAGCAAAATAACATAACTGCTGCGGGGAAGAGTGAAATCTCTGAATTCAGTTTTTATATTGTGTGAATATATGTGATATTTTGGGCATCGGGGCGAACAAATTCAGAACCTGCTGTACTAAAGCATTAAAAGAAGCAGCACAGCCTCCAGCTGACTGCAGCCAAACAATGAATAAATAAAACAGGGAGATTTTACGGTAGATATCTGTTCGAAAAAAAGGTCTGGTTATTATTTTCTCTTTTAATAGCTACGCTGCATAACTTACTGTCTAAATATTTCTTAACGGGGTGACCCCATTCTGATCTAAGAGTAAAGAAGGGAAAAATAATAATATCTGAGATTCTGGAATTCCAACATGTTTTAGGCGATCAGTGGACTCGGAAACATTAACTGTCACCAGTTGATCTAAGACCAGCTCTTAAACAGGCAAAGCAGACACACGCAACAGGTTCATTATCGCAGGTGGAGAGAGAAAGCGTGTTCGTCTCAATAGCTCAGCAGGTAAGAAGACGCCTTGCAGTTAAGTGCAAGCTTACCCGCGGATTCGTATCCACAGATATCTTTATGCCCTCGTTTTATTTTAACAGATTTTCCAAAGATGGGCAACATAATATTATTTAAATGACAAACATTTCCTCGCAATCAGCGTTTTGTGCTGAGTTGCTTTTTTGTCCTTCTAATTGCACCAGTGAAGCAAACAATTTGGACTAATAGTAAAAACCTGACAAAACAATGACTTGTAAACCAGTAACTTGAAAAACGTGAATGATTTAAAGTTGTTCTGCATGCAAACCAAATAATGTGGCGTCCTCAAAACAATAGAAGGGAATAAGATGACAGCTGACTGAGGGAACATGGTTACACATCATGACAGGTTCGTAATTGCGGTAAGAAAAATAATCAACAATAACAGTTACAAATTTAACGTAGCCTGCTACAACCCTAATTGAGGATAAGATAATAACATCCAAACATCCCAGGAGATGGAGCGTTTTACAGCCCATATTCCTGCAGATCCCGCTGGATCACAAGTTAATCTGTGACACTCGGATTCTGACGCTTTCAGATCCTCACGATGCGTTTATTTGATCCCCAAACTTAAATTACTCATCATATTTCACATTATCCACAGACAACAGACGTATGTTGGATAGATATTAGGCCAGGATAAATTATAACCTTTATTCTGACCCGTTTGTTTACATTTGCGGCATTTTGATCGGGCAACCACGCAGCCAACTAATCTCTCCAAACAGCTGTGCTGTGGACCCCGTCACAAATTAATCTAGTTCTTCGTTTATCTGCATTTTTCTACAAGATAAAACATAAAGCAGTCATGGCGACTCATACCCACACCATAGCGGTAGCTGCTAACTCTGGGATTTAAATTCTACTGTGAAAACAGAAAAAGTAAAGTTTCCGCATCAACAGGTATGTGATTCAGATTCTATTAGCTGCGCCTAAGTAAATACATTTTACCCCCTTTTTACACATGGGGCAGTAAAACCAGCTCAGCAGCAGCCCGTTATGGTCTCATACCTGGATATTATGAACCGACTGAACACAATAGCAATAAAAATAAAGGTGTTTGACCTGATACAGTTCATCATACGGGACAAAGTTTTGGGATCCACTAAAAAAACAACACCGCAGTAGAGACTTGTATTTGTGTCCAGAAAGGAGAATAAAGGAAAGATGAGAGCATGGAATCTAAGAAAATAACTTTTTGTCAATATTCAAAAAATAAAGTGGGAATAGTTGGAAGGATGAGAAGCCCAATTGTTCTGTTTGCAGTCAGTTTTTCTTTAAAATGTGCTGCTTACACACGTGCCTTCTGAATGACAGGCCTCTTGAATGGATTTATTTTTACATTCAGGAATTTATAAAGTGGGCGGACTTTATTGTCCAAGCTACAGGTTTTCATTTATAGCTTATCGTTCAACAGGAGAAATGACACTCCAGTGTGAGACAGACTTTTATTTGGATTTTTTCTTGGGATTCTTTGCACTATCTGCTTTGCTGAGGATACAAGTTCCTTACCACATCATTCTAATCTAAAAAAACAAAACAAAACAGAAATTAATTCATTAGATATGTCGGTTGATTTTTTTTTGGCGAACAGTTTTGTTACGTTAGGAATATTTTTTCGCCAGGCATCAACACAGCCACCTAAGCTTCAGTAACATCTGCGGTGCGCATAGATTCTAACCAGTTGATCTCCTCCCCAGTTGATCTGTCACACCGGCTCTCAATGCGTGTGGGAACGTTGCTAGTTCTACATATGAGGGTTGTTAACCTGAATCCATGATGTCTTGGCTAAAATCTGCGTCTTTCGGCGGTGAAGATGTATTTGATGAGAATGCGGACGAACTTCATTTACAAAGTAAAGAATGGACATCCAACATGAAGAAACGCATCAAGGTGAGGTTAGCTTTAGCTCCCATCAGTCTCTGTTACACCGACTGGAAGAAGCTGCTTACTTTCTGTCTGGTTGGTGCTTTATTATCGTTTTATTCCACCGCTGGGTGTTTTGGACAGGATGGATATGTGGACGGAGTCAGTGCTGGAGAGGAGGCCTCGCTACAGGTGGGATTTAACCAGGGCTTCAGAGAAGGAGCAGCTCAAACTGTGGCTGTGGGTCGCCTCAAAGGGATTGTCAGGTAAAAATATGACATATACTGAGCATAACACTTTATATTTACAAAGACTATTGGTGCTGCTTAGGGCAGAAATAATTAATCGGATCAATTCATTGATTATTGAAAAAATCAACTAATTTAATAATCTTGAACTATAGAGACTCTTAAACATGCTTTTAGCTGACAGAGGAACTCAGACTAGTAATTCTACCAAAATTGTAAAAGAAATATATCAACCTTTCGCATTAAGATAAAGGAAACATTTTTTATCTTTCAATATGCTCTATTCAAAACTTAAATGGGAAAGTTTTAGTTTCACCTGATTTAATTTCATAAAAAATCTTCTTTAAGAAAGCTTTGGCTATCTGATTAATATGACAGGTTGATCGATTTGCTAAATAATCGTTAGTTGCAGCCCTGGTGTTACTTATAATTCAGGAAAATGCAGACATAATACACATGAAAGTAAATCCATGAGATAAAAAGCAGTTGGCTTAGGTGGTAGCACAGGATGTTGATAGATACTAGATATGATCATTGGGGACTTCAGGTGATTTTTCCATAAATGTCTTGAATGCTTCCGTTTCCTAGAGGTAATCTGCAGACTTAGACACACTTCTACAAAAATAATGATTGATTTTCATAAACATTTTAACATTTAAAGTGATCAACAGACCAAGATCTTTGCAGAAGCCCCACAGATCCGTCTGTCGATCTCCAGCTCCATCCTCCCCTCGCTCAGGAACAGGACCTAGAGATACATGAACTCCTCTAAGCCAAATTTTCCCACTTGAATAATGTGGGCTTGAAATCGCTGATCTTCATCCTGGCCTCTTTGTGCACTCAGCTGCAAACTGTCCAAGCACAAGCTGAGGGAGCCCCCCTTGAATGGTTCTAGACGGGGAGTAATGGGGACCAGTGCCTCTGTAGACCTGGTCCAGGCCCCTGTACTGAAAATATCTGCTACAAAACTTAAAATAGAATTAGGTACATTTTCCATGAAATAACTGGATTTTTTCTTTGATTTGAGCAGGAAAATTAACAAAAATCAGTTTTTGTGGGGTAATAAATTAATAAATGTATAACAATGATATGTCCTAACAGCCATTTGTCCCTTGGACCAATTTCAATACACATTCACAATCACCTTTACAATTATTTATTTGATTTTATATAGGCTGATTCCCAAACCAGGCCCTTGATTATGAAAAAGACCGGTCATGGCCCTAAGTAAGTGTTTTCTGGTGCTCTTTTTTTTTTTTTTTTTTTTTACTGGGCACCTTCTATTTCATGACATCACCCCAGAGATGCTGCAGCGTTTTATCACACTACTTATACAGGTCTTCTTTTTAAGAAGAACATAATCTAGGACGTCTCATAGCTGAAAACAAAACACAAGATCTCAAACTCTCCTTAACCGAACTGTTAGAAATTTAAGAACCATGTCAAAAACTGAATTAAGCAAAAGGAAATCAACTAATGGAAATTAGCTCTATCTGGTCCTTCTTGAGAGAAGTTCTCAAATAACTCAGTGTTTTGATGGCAAAACAGTATTTTGTTCCTTTACAATCTTGTAAAGGGTCCAAATATTAGCAGGGCTGTTTGTATTCTCTGTATTTTAGCCTTTGTTGATTATTTTGACACATTTAGAGCGGATTTTTTAAATTATTATGTTGCATAATCATTCCAACTTGGAAAAAACACTTCAGTTAAAGCCTGGAAACATCCTTGTTGATATCAGGTCCATGATTCTCTGAGATCATGCAACCTTTGACCATAACCACAACCTTTTTTGTTTTCTATCTTATTTTGTAAAACATCCCTATTGACTTTGTTCCAGCCCTGATTGTCGTCTCTTCCCCTGCCCAGTGAAAGCCCGTCCTGCTCAGTTCTTTGTGTCATTGTGTATCTAACACTGTATCCTCTTTGTGTGTCCATTCACAGCGCTGTATGGTGCTGGTGCCAGATGCAACATCCAGAAAAGCCCGTCCCGGCCGGTGTCATCGACCTTTTGCAACTAGTAACGCAACACGAAGAAGGAATCATAGACAGCATTAGGAAAGCACTGGAGAATCCTCCTCCTAGTGTGAGCGACGTCTCTGAGAGCATGGAGGATCTGGAGGTAAAGCAGCCCGGTCTGGGCTGCGGCGGAACAGGCTGTGAAAACACAGACTGCTGCAGGAGCGAACAAAAAATGGACTTGGAGAGTTCTCACCATCAGCACAATCTAAGCTCTGAGCCCAGTGGTTTCCCCTCCAGGTCACACGAGGGTCTGGACCTGCTTGTGCGGCGCTGCATGGATCTGGTTTCTGAGCTGGGACTTCCACAAGAACTGATCCATCACATAGAGGAGCTGAGGAACTCATAGCAGTTAATGTCATAAGTACCAATACTTGATGTGATCTAGACAGGTTTTAAAGATTTATTTGATGTGCATAGTGTAAATAATTTGTATTTGCAATTTTTCTAAGATTTATTTGAAAATGAATAAAATGTTTACCAAATGTATGCTTGTTCTCTCTCCAACACAAATATATTCCCTGTATTTTTTTCCATTGTTAATGAGAAACATCTGATTAAAGTTACACAACTGTTGAAATGACTGCTTCCCATCTAGGAAGCCCACTCAGGTGTTGAGGTTCTTTCAATCACAAGATCATCTGCTATAAAAGAGGACTCTTTGGCTCTGTTCGAAATCGTGGGCTGCATCCTCCAAGGACGCGGTCTACCTCAACTGGATCCTTCCAAGTCCTTGGAAATAAGGAGGCCGGAAGTGTTTTGGCTTTGAATTCGAACAGGTCCACCCTTCGGCGGGTTTTACCGCCGTATGCTCTGTAGCTTAGTAACCGTGAAAGTTGAAACACAAAGCAGGAAAAGAATGAAAACCGAAGTTTTCAAAACTCTATTTTTTATTATAAGGTGAACAAAGACTACACTCACAAGAATCCAGAGTGGAATAAAGGTTCCAACCACTTGGACCAGGAACAAATAAAATCAAATGTAATGATAGAAACCTTAGTCAGTTAAATAACATGCTGCTGTCATTTTGCACATCTCTGATGTTGCTGCTATTTTCAAATATCCATTAATGTAAAAATGTCCATAGCTGCAGTTTTATATTGTTAAAGCACTTTACAGAATTGTATTTTTTATATTTTAACTCTTCCCTATTATGTTATTCTTATAAATTTTTCTAAGGTCCACATTTGTGTGACCATTTTCAATAATCTTTCTGCTGCTGTAAATTTGCTCATTGTGGGACAATAAACATATTTTCTATTCTATTCTGTAAAAGGGGTAGAAAGATATAAGTAAATCTAAACAATATATGTATAAAAATATATCTGCAAAATCTGTAATATTCAACAACAAAAAATACTTAGTTAAGCATATTGTGCAAAACGGCAATAAAAAAATGAAACTATCAGATTTATAGTCTGGTCTTGGCTGGAAAAGGAACATTTTGGAGCAACACAACGTGAGAGAGAGAGACAGACAAGTACCAGGACAAGGGAGAGGAGTGGGCAAGGTAGAGGGGGAAGAATAGGAATGCGTGGTGGCGCTCAAAGAAGGACCAGAGCTAAGGTAACTGATCAACAAGAGCCACGATCATTGACCATGTCATAAACCACGGGCTATCATACAGAGAGGCTGGTGAACGAGTACAGCCAAATATCAGCCTGGACACATTGGCATCTATTGTCCGTATTTTCAGAGAAACCAACAGGTAGGATATTGCTTCTCCTACACCAAAGTGTAAATACAGTAAAATTACCATTTACAGTATAGAGTGACTTTATGCCTCCAGTGTCTGATATGGAACTGCATTTTGTCTCTCTAAGGATTCAACGTCTACCTCCCTCAGGGAGCAGGGGAAAGGTCCTGAATGAAGAACAAGAACTTGCTAATGTCAACATGGTGACTGCTGACAATGAAATAAAACTGAAAGACATTTAGTCCAGAGTTGTAGAGGACAACCTTGTCTTTGGGAACATTGCAGCAATCAGCATAACATCCATCTCTCAGACTCTAGCTAAACACAGATTCCGAATGAAACAACTATACAAAGTTCCTTTCGAAAGGAACAGTGAACGCATCAAAGACTTCCATCACCAATATGTCCAGGTAAGTTTATGCAATACAGTCATCACTATACACAGTTTGTTTCGCAGTAAACTATTCTATAAACTTAGAATATATTAGGACATACAGTAGATTTTCAGTACAGCACAGCAGTTACATACACACTGTCTAATTACTTTCGGAGTCATGGAGTTGGAGGCCAGTCAATTCCCCCATGAATTTATCTATGTTGACGAGGCTGGCTTCAACCTGGCAAAAAGGCGTCGCCGTGGGAGAAACATAATTGGCAAAAGGGCCACGGTTGCTGTGCTGGGCCAGAGAGGAGCCAACGTCACCATGTGTGCTGCAATCTCCAACAATGGTGTACTCCTGCATAAATGTGAGATTGGCCCCTACAACACCGACCGCCTTCTTATTTTTTTAAGAAGACATGCATGAAAGACTGGTGCCAGAGGTAGAAAGGGGCAGTTGGGAGACCATTTGCCAATATATGTGATCACATGGGACAATGTGGCATTTCAACCATTCCCGTACAATTACAGCCTGGTCTGATGCCCATCCAACGATGATATCCCATTTCCTTGCTCCTTACTCTCCTTTTCTCAACCCCATTGAGGAGTTTTTCTCAGCCTGGAGATGGAAGGTATTTGACCATCGTCCACATGACCAAATGTCTCTCCTAGATGCAATGGATGCTGCATGCCAGGACATCACAGCTGAACACTGCCAGGGGTGGATAAGGCATGGGAAAAGATTCTTCTTACGATGCCTTTGCAGAAAAGATATCAGGTGTGACGTGGATGAGAACATGTGGCCAAATGCAGAAGACCGAGTAAATTGAATTTTATTATTTTTTTATTTTTCCGGTTTTCCAGAGTATTTCTAATAGTATATCTTGCAGTAATTTCCTTTTGCATATATAGTATTTACGTATACTGCAGCAATTCTGTCTCTGTCTTTTGTTTCATAAAATGTAAATTCTATAAAGCTACTTTCTGCAGTAAACAAAACAAAATGCATGTGCAAAACAGAGCTGTGTCCTTGTACAGTTACTGTCTATTGTATAAAGGCACACCTAACATCTAAAATAATGCAGTTTCTGTAGTTTCAGCTGATGATAGTGTTTTTTTTTTTTTGTCATTGTGTTATGATTGACTAAATGTTCCTGTTGGAAGAGAACACGTGTTAGTGTTTTGATTAATTATGTGATTTGGAAACATGTTTGCAATGTTTTGTCAGACATGGTGTGTCGTGTTAGTGTATTATTGTATTTTGAAAATTAGTTTTGGAGTTTAGTTTACAATGTGTGAATTTGAACATGAAATTAACCGTTTTGCCAATTGTGTGTTTTAGGTGTGTTGGTGCGTTAAGAGTTTAGGAAACCTGTTAAATGTATTGAAAACTGTGTCACAGTGATTTTAAAAAAACTGTAAAAGCAAGTTAAGGTTGGTAACTCTTATAAAAACGTCCTAAATGCATAGTTTTTATATTAATCTTTTTTTATTTAACATATTGCATATTTTATTTGTCTGTTTCGTAGACATTATTGGGGGAAAAAAAAGGGGAAGTGGTGAGCGCACGGATTTTCGGAGGGCTGCTTGGCTGCTGCAGAACTGTCAGCGTACACTACAATGACGTCATGCGCTTCAGCCAGACTGTGTAGTAATGGGAATTTCGCCTCTCTTTTTGGATCCAAATCATTTAGCGGAGTTCATTCAAAAGAGCTGGATTATTATTTTTTTTTAACCAGAGATGGATATTCTAACTCTTAGTGGCTTTTACAGCTAAATATATGTGTTATTCAACATGTCTGAATACACATGTATGTTAAATATGCACCACTGTACGGTAACATTCCCCTTACATATAATAAAAAGTTTAAAGATATGTTATTAATTCATCTGTAAATTCTTAATAACTCATAAGTGCGTGAGAGGAAGCGGGAGAACAAACTGGCTGTTTACTTGCCAAATAGCCTAATCTACTCAACTTTATATACCATCGATGCGTATATTCAACATTTCAGTTGTGTGAGCACAATAAGCATTTGTGAAGATTAGATTTTAGCAAGCATAACATTTTGAGTGCATAATAAACATTTATAATTTATAAAGTGCCCAGTGACTAATTAATAACGCTTCACATTATGATTCCTCTTGGATCATTCAGGATACGGCACATTGACGCGGCTCGGGCTAGAGCCGCTCATCACAAGAGCCGTGACCTGCTGCTCCGGCTAAGCTAGGGATCATCGTGAACAGATGTTCCGTTCAAAATACCATGAATTGGGAGTTTTTCTGAAATGTTCCGTATTGATACACGCTGGCCTTGTGGTAGCTAAAGCTATCCACTGTCACAGCAGCGTTTGAAATGAGCCATTCTCTCTCCTGTTTGGGTTTTAAGTTTACAGCAGCTAGCCGCCGGCTAACCCCGCTCACCAAAAGTGAAACGAGAGCTGGAGCTTCATGATCCGAAGGGTTTGGAGTTTATCTTAAGTTTAACGCAAAATAAAGAAGGTAAGCTGAGCTAAAATACAGCAGTGTTAGCACACAGGCAGCAGCTGTTAAGTTTGTCTTTCTTGTTACTAAAAGCTGCTTCCTTGTGTTAACTTAGCTTGATCAGATGTTATTCCTCAACATAAACAAGAGTAATAACTTGGAAAGTCTTTATAATTTAAAACCTTATGTTTTCAATTGGGGGTTAAATGGTGTGGTAAATATTAAGATGTCCTAAGACGTAAAATCTTATTTAAAATCGCTTTTGTTGACATGTTATTTTTTGAAAAGGTGGTTCCCAAAGTTAGGGTCAATATCTGACTAAAGGTCACTACTGAATGTCAGATTTCAGGAAATGCCAGAATTTTATTTTCACAAATAGAAGTGATATTCTGGTTGTTAAATCTGTTTGGTGAATATTAATGCTTTATAATCCAATAAAAATTAGTTGGGTGGAAAACTGCTGTTATTTCTTGGGAGAGTGCACAAAAAAATCCTGAGACAATGTTAAAAGTTTAATTTTGTTTTTTTAGAACAACTACATTCCTGTAGTTGTGCAAATGTTTTACAGATGAGTGAAAAGAATGCTGACAGCAAAGGTAGCTGAGTCAGTGCAGCAGGGTGTGTTTTAAAAGTGGATTACCATCTGAATATTAACAACATATCAGTGTTGAACCATGCTGTAGATCAGGATTCTTTGTTCCAGGCCCCGGGGCCCCGGGGTCCTGCACACACCTGACCTCATTAACAGGCAGCATTTAATAGCAGGAGACGATGCAACCATGCAGGCTGGAAGCATTTAAAACATGAAGGACTGCTACATATCATGCTAATTAAAGCCTTAAACGTATCATCTTAAACATGGAGTGGTCTTTAGGGATTTCTCGATCCCGTATTAATATCGGATATCTGTCCGAGAATAACCAAAAAAATTGATATCGAATTTTATCTGCCGGCATCGAAAATCTCCAATATTTTCTTGCTCATAGAAAAGATCTGCTTCTTTTAAAAGTTTCTGTTATTGATTGGTTAGTTTAACATGGGTCAGTTGTTTTCATACCATTTATTGTTGACTGAAAATAAGGAATAAAAGCCAGTATGATTTGTGCCAATATCGTATCGGGTCAATGTCGGTAGGGTATCGGAAATGAAAACATTGCACCAGGACATCCTGATACTTAATGTTCTGATACAACTAAATATATTCCCCTAAAAACACAGGTTAAATAGGAATAATTATTGTTTGCTCACCTGTTCTATCTTTCATTATGTTTTGATTTTATTATTTTGTCTTAAAGTGTCTCCAGATTGATAAAGCAGCACTATGGTTGCTTCCTGAGCTCCCAACCCTTCGTCATGGACTCCTAGAACCCCTGGTTGTTTGGGACTGGAGGCTACCACCCAGCCTACCTGACCCCAGCCTCCCCCCCAAAGCAGATGGGGAATTGTTGTTGTGAAGCTGAAAGTCCCTGTGGCAGCATTGAGGAACGAAGTGTTTTGCTGAAAGATGACTCAAAGACATCATGCGCTGGTGAGAGGGTAGCGGTTGGCGCTTGTGGTCCTGAAGACAACGATGACATGAGGTGAGATTTTGTAAATCTGCTTGGAAAATGTACGTTTTTTTAAGTTTTTTATGTGTTAATCTTCTTAGTTCTGTTTGGTTTCTTCAATCTCATGTATAAATAACATTTCTGAGTCTTTTCCCTTCTAGGAACAGAAAGAATGAAAATTAATTATTAAGATTGGATCAACTGCAAGGAGAGAAAAATGCTAAATTCGCCCTGTGGTTTATGTGGGACGTGATGCATCAACAAATAACTTTTAATCATGTTAGAGGACGCATAGGGACAGGGGGGAACTTCCACCCGTCCTTTTAGGGGTTGTCAACTAGAAACAGTCGAGTCATTTCACTCGCTTTTGAGAAATGTCAAGATACAATCATTAAAAAGTGGTTGTTGTGATCAAAGGTTTCCTGCTTCCTCTACACCTCCAGTTTAGGGAGAATCCTCAAACGTTTTTTTTTTTTGTTTTTTTGTCCCTCATGTATCTTATTTATTTGTGCTTTTGTGAAGATTTCAGAGGTGCTTTTGTTGTTGTTAACCCGTGGCTTTGCTCATTCTGTGTTATGTCTCTCAGTCAGTCTACTGCTGAAGAAGCCAAGGAGGTGAAGGAGGAGCAGCAGAGGTGTCAGAGCAAAGAAAGAGAACCCAGGAACACTCAGGGAAATGGACATTTACAAAAGGGAGACATTCAGGAGGTGTCAGCTCCTCCAAACAAAGACAGAGGCAGCAGAAAAGAAGATGACGAGAAGGAAGATGCTCCTGCGGAGCGATGCACTTTAAACCAGCCACAGGTGGACGTCTCCTCCCTTGACGAACAGGAAGGTTTGGCCACAAACGGAGAGCCAAACACCGAGAACGTAGATCAAACTGCTGTACAGGAAGACGTCTCACCGCCGCCTGAATCTTCACGCCCAGAAAACCTTCCCAGTCCTGAGACAAACCCTCTGGCGGAGGAGGACAAAACGGACGGCGGTTCTCACGCTGATTCTGGAGAGGATGCTATCGGTGCCGAGGCCAAACCGTCAGAGCAGTTCACACGGAGTAATGAAGCGCTATCAGAGCCAAGCACTCAGGCGGCGTCCATCTCTGCGGTCAGCCAGGACACAAACACAGAGGCTCCCAGCTGGTAAGTAAACATGGGGGTATTTCAGGAGGAAGTGGAAATATTCAGCATTGGTTGTGTTTAAAAGCCTTCATTCAGGTTTAAATCAGTGGCCAGATCAGACTTCTGCTGTTCCTTCAAAAAGTATTAACACCTGTAGAACCTTTGGCAAAATGTTTTTTGAATTCAAAATGTTTAATAAACTAAAAGAATTTTGTACATGATTGTGAAGTGAAAGGGAAAAAAACTCCTGAGCTCTGATCTGCCTTTCTTATGCAAACAGTCTCTGAAAGGTTCAGCGTGCCTTCCTAATCTGACCCAATGACTCTGATACCCCAGAATAAAGTCCTGTTCAACCAGTCTGTTCTAGAAGTTGCCTCTTGATTAAATATTTTGTTACTTACTTTAATACATGTTAAAAAGAAAATCCAGCCTCCAGCTGCCCTTAGAGGTTCCTTAATTAGCTAATAGAGTCCAGCTGTTAATCATTAAACCTCAGTATAAATCCAGCTGTTCAGTGAAGGCCTCAGAGGTTTGTAAGAGACCTTTGGTGAATAAGAAGCATCGGGAGCAGCAGGGAATGTTATCAAAAGCAAACCTACGTTGGGAAACAAAATCCTAATCTGAGTGAGAGCTTTTGATGAGTCATCCTAAAACAGGAAGTGTACGGTAAGGCTTCACAGTATATCCCAACCATGCCCTTATTCCAAATATCAAGCATCACATCGGTGTTTTCTATTAATCTGCAGCTGTAGTGGATGATGCAACTTTAACCTTAATAAACTAACGTGTCAGGCAGGGTATGCAGCTTTTACTAATGTGAAGGAGCTGCAGAGATCCTCAGCAGGAACCTGGTTCCGTTAGAAAGATTGTCAATGAGGAAGGCTTGTTTTTATTTTCTTTATTAGCAAAAAAGAAAAAAATATCTAAAGTTAGCACCACAAGCCATGGCAGTGGCACAGCAAACATGGGTGATGGTGATCTGGTAGCGTCAAACTGAAACTTTAGTTTTTTGACTTGATGCAAACAGCTGCATATTGAGAAAAAGTACATTACTCCCTGCATCAGTGTGTCGCAGTGAGCTTCACTCAGATAGTTTTGATTTATGCTCATTTTTCAGTGTGGTCTGCGCTACATGCAGGGGATCTAGATACGGCCGAGGCGGAGAGAAGTGGGGGCGAGTTTGTCCGACAACGGAGGGACATGAGGTTGAAAAAGAGCGGAGATCCAGGTGGAAAAAGGGTCCCAGCGTTCTCGCACACCTCGCTCTTCTAGCTGGTCTAACTTTACGAGTCGTTTTCCGCAATTTCGGTCATAGAAACAAAAGATCTTGGCCTCCTGTCTGCGGCACTGTTTGCGCCTACCTACAATTTGGGAGAGGAGCAGAGGCGTATCTGAGGAGGTGGCGGCAAGGTCTTTTTGTTCATTGCGGCACCTACACAGACGACCTAGTTTCGAAGTATAAATCAGCCTTAAGGGTCTTGCTCAGAGAGCCAGAGTGGCAGTCAGTGGGACGGGACCTAGAACAGAACCTCAGGATTCCAGGATTCCACGCTCTATGCCCTAACCACTAGGCCACCACTCCCTTTTATGCATGCAAGGTAATACTGGAAGAAAAGCCTTGGTTTTCCTCACACCTCATATAATCCTGTTCAGAGATGCTCTCCTTCCAGCTGGACTGAGTTAAGCTCTTGATTCACATAATAAATCTGGAAACATTGCGGTCTTTAAATGTCCAAAGCTGGTGGAGATGAATAAACCAAGAGCTCTGCAGCTTATTTAAGAAGTTTTACTGCAAATTATTGTAATAACAATTACAAAACATGTATGACTTGCCTTCTTCACAATAATGTCTTCACAAAAATTCCCCAAATATAGATTCAAGTTTGTTTGGGCATCAGGTATAAATACTTGTCTGTTACGTTTCCATCAGTCAGATCAGCTGTACCTATCTGGTGTTTTTAAAAGTGATTGCAGCATTCTCAGAATCTGATCTGGTGGATTGATACAGCTTCGAGGATCGGTGAACGCTAAAAAACTAGGGGTGTTTGGGAGATCAACAGAACGGCACCAGATCTACGACACTGGTTTGAATATTTTCAGTTTAATTTGGTTTAAATGCTCTAGTTACACCAGACGGAGCCTTGGCAGCTGCTAGCACTGTGAAATTCAGAGCGTGGGGAGACGAAAATGTTCTGGAAACGGACCCAGCTGTCCAATATCCTCGCTAAGCAGCACTTCTTAGCTATTAATGATTAGACTCTGATTTTAGGAGGTTTCTGTCTTTAAAATTTGTTTTTCTAACAACATAATTTAAGCAAAAGCTTTTTAAAAAATCAATAAAACTAAAAAGAATTTGAGGGCAAAACATCAATTAAGTCATCCAGGAGGGACTCGGAGTAGAGCCGCTGCTCCTTCACGTCGAGAGGAGCCAGTTGAGGTGGCTCGGGCATCTGGTTAGGATGGCTCCTGGGCGCCTCCCTGGTGAGGTGTTCCAGGCATGTCCCACCGAGGGGAGGCCCAGGACACGCTGGAGAGACTATGTTTCTTGGCTGGCCTGGGAACGCCTTGGGGTTCCTCCTGAGGGGCTTGAAGAAGTGGCTGGGGAGAGGGAAGTCTGGGCCTCCCTTCTTAAGCTGCTGCCCCCGCGACCCGACCCCGGATAAGTGGAGGAAGATGGATGGATGGATGGATGGATGGAACATCAATTAAGGATGAACTTTTTTAAAATTTGGCTTCACAATAAACTGCAGAATTTATTTGATCTCTTTTTTCTAAACATTTAAAAATTTACTAAATTTAATTGTGTGCCTCTTATTTAAGTTCCCAGTTTCTTTTTACTCAGGATGTAGAATGCTTTAGTTATTTATTTTATTTCTCAAACGCCCATCATGCAAACATTTAGACAGTCGACGATCTTCAAGGCTCTTAAGTTTGCAGGTTCCAGAGGACGGTGCAGAAGCTTTATCTTCCTGTTCCTTATGTTTTAAAAACCGCACCTATGTGCTGAAAATTCAAAGGGAGCTACTGTGAGAACACAAAACATTTTTTTTTTTATTAAATCAACTGAAGGGACATTAAATTTAGAATAATAAAAATGCATACTTCAGAACAGTATAAACGCTGGTGTCCGTTTATTTACAGTTATTGTATGTTTGCCAAACCTTTTATTGCACAATATTTGCTTTTGCTGTCCCAAGTTCACGACTGCTTTAATGATTAATGTCCTCAATCATATCTATAAGTAGATTAAGTTTGCTTGACATTTAATCAAATGCGTTTTGCGCAGTTTGCTGAAATGTTTCTTTCTGCGTGCAGCTCTGTGGAAGGTTCTGTGGAGACAAAGAGCCATGTTATCTCTGAGCCTCTCTCTCCTGGATCGGAGCCCACAGATCTCAACCACGCTCAGGAGAAACCGGGCTCTGTCGCCTCGGAGCCCACATCTGCTACAGAGGCCAAGGACAGGTCAGCAGGTTCATGCTCTGTTGAATGAAAACCTGTTAACAGATGTTCTCTTTTTGTTTGTTATTATGGCCACTAGGGGGAGCAATAAACACTTAGACAGCCAAAAATCATTTTCCTGCAGCATTTACAGGAAAACTGCATACATTTAAATGCAGTAGAGCTTCGCCATCATCTCTCTGCATCTGTTTTAAGTGTTTATCACACAGGCGGTAAAAATGAGATTCTCTCTGCAGCTTAAAGTCGGATCTAGAAGACAAGAAAGATCCTGAGGGTTCAGGTTCTGCGGAGGAGAATGTGGAGGAAGCTGGAGAGGATGTTTGTGACGAAGGGAAGAAGGATGAAGAGGATGGAAAGAAGCCGGAGAAAGTTGCTCTCACCGGGGAGACGGAGGCTGCTCGAGATGAGAAACAGTTGAAGATCCAGGAGCAGCTTGGAGAAGATGAGCCTTCGTCCTTAAAGTCAGATGTTGAAATGCCTGCAGACGAGGAAGCTGGTCAGGATGACAGGTCTGTGCAGATTCTATTCACACACATTTTAGCTCTGAACTGGATCCTGTATTGAAGGTTTTGTTCAAAGGTGGTTTAAAACACTGGAGGCAACAGTTTTTTGTAAAAATATTCAGACTGACCTGTTCAACAGTTTATGTCCAGGTTGGAACTTTATTGGTCCGACTTTAATCTCGGTTTATTTGTACCATGCTTTTACTAAAACGGCTCATTATAAGGGGCGTTGGATTGATTAATCTTTATCTCATTTCAGCATTAAAACTGTTGGAGTAATTAATGCAAAATAAAGTGTTGGATAATTGTAAAGTGGAAAGAAAATAATGGAGTTAACACATTTATATCCAGCTGCCCAGGGTCAATATTTAGTGGTTAAAACTGAAGTCAGCTGTTTCTATATAGCGGTTTTCTCTAACAGGTTTTCACACATATAAGCTCCATTTACACTTATTGTCTGAAAACCGATTTGTGCCGAGCTTGGATCGGTTAACCGTGCCGAGCTTGGTACCTTATGACCGTTTACACATCACGCTAGCACGATTCCTCACTTCCTAGTGATGATCTACAGTACTGCTGCTCTCTAGAGGTAAACAAGCAAACCAACATGTCGGCGCCTGTAACATTCAGGAAGCTATGTTTTGTTATTATTGTGATATTTCGTTGTTTGTGGAGAATCAGGCAAAGAAGGCAGCCTTTGGGGAATTTACTTGACAGAGTCTGCTTTTGGGAAGTGGATACAACAAACGATAGTCCAGTCAGGGCTTACAGACACAGGAAACAGCGACAGACGTTGAGGTTCATCACACTGCTAAGCAGAATCATGTGGCATGGTAGGGAAGCTAGTATTTTTATGAATATCTGAAATTTAATGCTTACAGGGGCTGACTGTAAGGAGATGACACAGCCTGCTCATGAACTCTTTGTTATCTGAGAACTGAGCCAGAACTGAACTTCGCCGAGACATACTGATGAACTAGTAGCGTGTTAGCACGGCTTGGTTGTGTCTGGTTCAGTTTTGCGTGCCATTTACACTCAACAGTGATCTTGGCACGGTTTCAAAAGAGTAGTGTAAATGGGGCTATAGACTCTAATTCTTACCTCTTCTCCATCTCTGAACAGTAGGTTTGCCACAGATTATGCCACCTTTTGGATGTGGACTTTGACTAGGCCATTCTAGCTCTGGGTGTGCTCATAAAGTCAATGTCCTGCCCCAGCTTTTTGCAGCCTCTTACAGGATTTCTCCTCAAACTCTCCCCACAATTAGCTCGGTCTGTCTTATTGTCAAAAATTATCGCCAAGACATGATGCTGCCTCCACCTTGTTTCATCCAAGGCGGTGACATGCTCAGGGGGGATGTTCACTGTTGGATGACCAGAGCACCTTCTCTAGCATGCTGGTATTGCTCTGTAAACCAAACTTCTTATGGTTTTTAACAAACAAAACAAAAAACTTTAGTACATTTGAGATGTGTAGATTGCAGAAAAACAAGCTGTGCTTTTCAGATTCTCCCACCTAGCCTGTGGATTTCTCCACTGGCCTCTCTGTTGCTTTCCCTGCCTGCTCTCCCACTTAAACATGTTAGGTAGCTTTAGCAGTTACTCCACTTGTTGCTTTATAATCGTTTCATTTTCAGACGACACACTGAACATTGCTCTGTTCAATTTTCTTCATTTTCTCTGATCTTTATGGTTCTGTTTGTTCACTAATATTCTCTAACAAACCTCCGAGGGATGTTGGTTACAGATTAGGAGTATTGGAGCAAAGAAGGCTGAATATAGATTCACTCCACACTTTTCAGATCTTTTCCCATAAATTATGTTGAAAACCACACTTTATTTCCCTTACTCTGCACAGTTATTCACCACTTTGTGATGCTTTGTCATGGAAAACACCCAGTAATATAAAAAGAAGTTGCCTGTTGGAATATGAGAAAATCTGGAAAAGTTTAGAGACAAAGTTTAAAATTAGTGAGGCAGGAAGGAAGCTTTTGCAAACGTGTTGAAATGTTGTTCCTCTACTGAGAAACAGCTGAAAAGCACATAAACTAATACATTAAGATGAGCTAGTTTAAATAGGATTTTTTCCTTGTTTTGTAGTTTTAGATATTTCGTTTTCTCCAGACTTCATTCCTAAAGGGGTCGGACATGGGTGGTTATTTTGGTGCTGTTCTATTTTTAGCTTTTAGTTAATACTCTGTGTACTCTACAGCAGCAGGTGCAGAGATAAAACCTTCTGATCTATTCTATGGCTGGAAACATGCGATTAATTTGGCCTTCATTCCCCATAAATATGACTAAATCTGTTTCCCTTCAGTGACATAGACTTGTACCGAGGAGAAGAGGAGCTGTCTGCATCATCAAGTCATAAACTGCAACCAGCATCTGAGTTAAAAAGTAAATGTTCTCAGCTTACGCTTTCTATTTAGGTCCTACAGTTGATGCTGAAATGTCTAAATAACATCAACAATCCTCCTCCCAGTTCCGAAGGTGCAGGATAGCTGCAGTTTGTCTCCGGCTGTGGATATCCTGTCTTACAGTGAGAGGGAGTGGAGAGGAAAAACTGCCAAGAGTGCTCTCATCAGAAAGGTTGGTGCCTTTTGAAGAACTGCTTCAGCTTCTAGACGTGTGGTTTTATCTGCACATCTGAGGGGCTTCCTGTGGTTTTGCTGCAGGGGTACGAAGAGATGTCTGCAAAGTTCAGCCACCTGAGGAGAGTCAGGGGGGACAACTACTGCGCCCTCAGAGCCACCCTGTTCCAGGTGTTGTCCCAGAGCGACCAGGTGCCTCAGTGGCTGCAGGAGGACACCGTTTTAATGGTAAATATTTACAGTTATTGAGATTTAGCTCTCTCTACGTTCTCATATAGAACTTCTGTAGACCTCCTTTTAATTTGGTAATATTTCAGTTGTATGGCTTGCATCAAGTATTTTTATTTGTATCCTTTTGCAAGCTGATCACAGTAATCACTTTGTACAACTATGGCTGTTTACATTGAATGTCCAGTCCAGGGATGGATCCAGAGAACGTTACAATGTGAAAGTTAACACCTTCATTTTCTGTGACGTTCTTTTTGTAGTTTTTAAACTAGGCCAAACAATATCAGGCTGTTCCAGCAAATGTTTTGGGGGCAGTATTGCTCTAGTATTGCACCGATGTAGAATAAAAAAGAAAAGCCTGCAGAAGAAAGTTTGTCTCATGAGGTTCTGGTTCCTTTTTGCTTTTCTAATGTAGTTCTGAACCTCATCATTCCTCCATGAGATATTTTCATACTGTTTTGTCTTGTATATTCAAACTCCTGATTTCGATTTACTCTTCTTCCACTTGTACAGCTCTTTCTGCAAGGGAATCAGTCCCGATGTACTATAACCTGTCAGTTATAACCATGCCAGTGGATCCAGGGTCAGTGATGGGCTCACATTGGTGTGATTTGCACCAGAAACCGAACTCCTGCATTGCTAGAAGCATTTCACAGGTTTCCTGTATAAACAGCCTAAACATCATCAGGGGTTGACGTTAAGGATTTTTACCACTTGCCCTTTGGGCAAGTGACTTTCACATTTCATTTGCCCAGAAACAATTTTTACTTGCCCAGTATAATGTTTGATAAAAATAGTTCCTAATATTCATTTTTGTATATATATCAATGAAACATGTTTGTTTGTTTTTTAAATGTTTTTTGTAATTCAGTATTTTTTAAGTTTACAGGTTCCTGGTGTGTATATGCATGCGTCAGATAATGAACTCAAGCCTACATTACTGTGTTAACATGCTTTTCAATCCTTCCTGCACATTCTTTTCAAACTAAACTTTGCTTTAAACTGTCGTGTGGTTGGAAAAATATAAATTGTAATGTCAAAAATCTAAAAAAAACTTGACAGGTTGAAAACTTAAGATAAATCACAAGACAGAAGTCAATGTCACAAATAAATAACTTATTTTAGAGCCACAGTATGTTTATACAAGATAATACTATTAATATAATGTGACTTTTCTAGAGAATCATTATACATAGTTATTTTATACAGGGTTTCCACAGTCTTACATCATTTCAGAATTCCCTGAGTTTTAACTGACTCAGGATTAGTTTTCCCTGACAAAATAAATGCAGCCGTTTGTCGTTTTGGTAACTACATCAAAATTACCGCTAGGTGGACAAAAATCACGCCATCTGGCGGAAAATCACCGGCTTTTTCAAATCACGCGAGAATGTGTACAAAACAACAAAAATGGCGCCGGCAAAGCTTCTGGGTCGTTTTCATCGAATGTCAGTGATTTTAAAGTAATTTTGAGTGATAAATAATTTTTTTTTGCACTCTCCCAACAATAAAAACTACTTGCCCTGGGAGATCGGGCGATGGTAAACATCGAGCCCTGATCATTGTGTATTTCTTCAAGTTTTGCACAGTTTGGAAGCTCCAAACCCGAACCTCTCTGCTGATGTTATGAGGTGTAATTTCACAGTGGTCCAAATCAGGATCCTTTCCTTATCATATCATATATATTGTATAGTGCACCCTTCCCTTCTGCTCAGCATGATGCTGCCACCTCCATATGTCACAGTTTGAATGGTTTCTCAGGCATTCAAGCTTCCCCCATTTTCCTCCAAATGTAACAACAAACCTTAAGGCCACTTTACCAAGAAAAAAAAGGATGAAATATTTGACTAGTTGTCCCTTAGAAGTGATGGCCTCTTCCTCACTGATTGCTGGCTTTGAAAAAGGTTCATTGAAAAATAAGCAGTGACGGGTTGTGCTGCAAAAATTCTGCTTGGTGCTTGGAGTTGGTGCTAAATGCAGCCCCCTGTTTAGCTGTTCATAGCTGGCATTTGGTTTTCTTGGCTTCAAAGCTAAAAGTTTTATAAAACGACGCGCCCTGAGGCACTGAAGGTTGAAATGTTTTAATGTTTTGTTTACAGCTGCCAAAACAACTGGAGGCTCAGGACGGCCTTATAAGCCAGTGGCGATTTCCTGGACATCACGTGAACGAAGATGGCGTGGAAAATCCCATCGAGCGGCTGAAGGGCTACATGGAGCTGCTCCGACAAAAGGTACAGATTCCATATCGGCTCAGAGAGAAACCCCGGTACAGCAGCGCATCAATGACTCTCCACAGAGCGGTAGCTGGATCGCTACCATGTGTGAAAGGAAGGCTGCTGCTTAAAGGTGAAAAATGAACACAGCAGTGCTTCAGTAAATGAAAGGCTGTTGATTGAAGCTAAAGGACGCGCCGTTTATATAAAGCCATGCAGCGAAGCGTTCAGTTCTTAACCAGATCTAAGATATTACAGCAGTTACATCAGTAATTGATGATAGATGGGAGCAGAGATTTAGAGCTTATTGCTTTCCTAGAACTAAAGAAACTGCATATTGAAGAAGAATATTTCCTTAGCAATTTTTCATGGTATCTCAGTTGCATATAAAAGCAAAATATTGCGGGTTCCTTAGGGAGCAGTGAGATGTACACAGTGTCTCATTCAGGGACCTGCAGTCATAGCCTGACTTTTGTTCACTTCTCTAATTTGTGTCCAGTGGAAGGCGGCGGCAGACTGTCCTGGCGCCGCGGCGCGGCAGCAGCTCTGTGAGCGTTTGTTCCAGGGCGAAGAGGAGGAGCTCGGGATGCTTGAGGCGCTGAAGCTGCTGATGCTGGGCAGGGCCTCTGAGCTGCACAGCCGCATGCAGGTGGGGGAAGACGTCCCTCTCTTCTGCTGGCTGCTGTTTGCTCGGGACTCGTCAGACTGTCCCCGTTCCTTCCTGTCCAACCACCTCAGCTATGTGGGCCTCAGCGCCGGGCTGGAGCAGGTAGAACACATCGTCAAACTCTTTCTCTCTGTATTTTATTTTTCTTTTGCGTTTTTCAGCAATACGCAAACAACCCTGGTACTTTTTCCCAGCCTTTGAATACATTTGAATAAAACCAGAGCTACAAACAAAAGCAGCAGGGTTGTTTGTCAGAACAGGAGGAGTATTTTTATAAACTGATCAGTAAAACATGCCAGTGCTTGAGCTAGAGCTGACTTATAGAGGATATCATTATTTGCAATACATTAATGAAAGCCTTTGCAGGTACGCTCTCCTCAATGACACTCCACCCACTAATTATTGTGTGTTTGGGCAGCTGATTAAACATGCTGCTGTTTGATTCTTTTTTTGTGCTTTTGGAGCTGTGCAATTATCTTTGTTTTTTTGTGCAGGTGGAGATGTTCCTACTGGGATACGCCCTGCAGCACACCATTCAGGTTTACAGACTCTACAAAGCCAACACGGAGGAGTTCGTCACCTTCTACCCAGACGACCACAGGGATGACTGGCCCTCTGTGTGCCTCGTCACGGAGGACGACCGCCACTACAACGTGCCGGTGGCAGAAGCTGCTGATCCCTGCCAGGAGCTCCCCTCCAGCTGATTAGCGCTGCGGGGGAAGAGCCTATGCTGTACAAACGCCCCTCAGGTCGAACAGAGTGACATTTTTATGCCAACTCCAGGGGTCATGCTGGGATATATGCTTCTAGAGGTCACACCTGGAAAAAGTCACAGATTCTCCACCTAAGGGAGAGGAGATCTCCATGTTTGACATTTATAACAAAATCATTTAGGTTGCGTCACATTAGAGCACTTGGAGCATTTCTTTCTTTTTTGCCATAAGGTTGTTTTATTTTTACTGTGCCATAGTTATTTGTGCTTGTATTTTAGGTACTTCCCTAAAAACCCAGGGAAACAGTGAGGTTCATCTACAACAATAAAGTCTGAAGATTTTAGTTCTGCCATAAAGTAGATCAGAAGGACATGGATTAAAACCAGGATTATCAGTATTGGCTCCCATTTTTGTCTATCTTTACAGCACCTAGCTGAATCCTTTGTTAGGTTTTCTTTGCTTTGTTTTTTGCCTATAATCTGAGCCAACTGTCTCCTGACTCTAAAGCATATATCTCAAAATGTAACCCTGTCGTTTTAAAGCTACGGTGACTCGAGACCCTGTACAAGATGTTTCTGTTTTTCCAAACACTTGTATGCACTGTACTGTAAGAGTTTTGTTTTTCTACCTTTGGTATGCGTACAAATCCAGTTTTCTAAGATCACTCCAGCTGAATCCAGATTGGGTGGTCAATTAAGAAAAGCAACGAAAAGAGGCAAAAATACAGAATTTATAATCTTGCACTGGATCTTTTTCTGTTAATTTATTGTTTTGATGTTGGGGGTGGGGGGAAAGAGGTACTTTAAATGAGTGTGAAAGTTTAATTTAAGACGGCTGAATTAGTCGATGACGGGTTTGCTGATGGACTTATTCCAGATGATGATGAGAAGACTCGGAGGATTAATGGCAGCTTCTGTGTCAGAGGCGTGATGTGTAACTGTCGTATGTTCTGTGCGTGTCAAACACAGTGACTAACATGTTGCCTTTAACCAAGCTGTTCAGAAAAGAGGGAACATACCAATGTTGCTGCAAAAAAAAAAGAAATAGCTGGTAAATGCTTCAACCACCAGCCACAGGTTGTAGGTTAAAAAAAAGAAACAAAAAGGCTCACTTGGTTATCCATGTTGCCTTAGAAATGATGCACAATTTGAATGAATGTCAGTTTTTATCAGTATGGAAATAAATGGTACATTTTGGAAAAGTTTGAAGTTTTTTTGAAAAGCAATCATTACAAATAGTCAAACATTTAACATTCACAGGAAACTGACAGGTCATCATACTGTTCCATGTCATGTGATTTAAACCATCCTTAAAACTTTTTTCATTTTGCTTTGAAAAAAACTAGAGATTAAATTGAAAGAAGGTTGTGTACAATTTTCATTCCATTTCATTTGAAGAATTATTGGATCCCAATGATTAATTTAGGGCTGCAACTAACGATTATTTTGCAAATCAATAACCTGTCAAGTATTTTTCCAATTAAGTGATAAATAATCTGATGGCAAAGGGTTCCTGAAGGATTTTTTAATGAAATTAAACCAGGTGAAACTAAAACCTTTCCACTTTAGGAGTTCTGGATAGAGAATATTAACAGACGGGTTGATTATTAAACGATTATTTTAATAATCAATGCATCGCGATCAGTCATAGTATCTATGGATCTTTCCAGAAGTCTTTCTCCTTTCTCATTGTCTAAATGTCCTAAAAAAACTGAGCCAAAGTCTAGTTGACTTCCAATTTATGCGTGTTTGTGGTTTCCATAATCTAGATGACTGAGGATTTACACAGGCAACTATGTACAAGTTTAAACCTAAGATTAGAAAACTGTCAGACATAATTGCTACTAAAAATACCTTCACAACTCATGACAACAAAGATTTAATAATAAATCCATTTATTTGCAAATAAGAATGCCTATACAGTATATACAGTACATACGACAGTCTGAATACTAACAGGAAAAAGGCTTGGCAAATAAAGAAAAAAAGTGGGTCCAACTACCAGACTGCACTTGAAGAGGAACATCAGAACCGTATTGTTTAACACACAGTGGTTTGATAAGGGATTCCTGACCCCTCGCAGCAATGAAATATACACAATGCATTAAAGCAAAAATCTGTACACCGTTGTATGTAAAATACGATTGCACAACCCAACAAGTTCCACATTGTGTCCGAGTTTGAATCCGAGCAAGGTCTCTGCTTTTATAAAGTTACATGAAATATTTAACTCAGTTTTTTTTGGCAACTCCACAACCATTCGGCTCGTTGTTCCCGCTGCTAAAGAGGAGGAGGTCTCCTGTGTCGGTTTCCCTTGTTTACCGGTAAAAATGTGAGGAAGAGTACACACCCAGCTAACAGGATAGGCTAACTAAAGACAGTATTTACAGCAATGGACTGGAGCTGCATGGCTTTCTTTACAGTGTGCGTTTTTTTTAAAGTGTGCAGGTCCAGACATGGAAGTCTGCAACCAGACCCTTTTCTAGTCTACAGCTCAATGCCGAGCTGTCCGTCTTCAAAGTTCAAGGTCCTCTTCCTGTGCTGCAGGAGCTCACTCCTGCTCCGCGTCCTCTTCCTCCTGAAGTTCTTCGATGGCGTCCATCTGGTTAGGGGAGCTCACTTGGCTCATGGGAGCGGAGTCGTCAGCCTCCACCACTAGCTCGTTGGACATCTCGCTATTCCTCTGAGAACAGAAAAAAAAAAGCAATGAGAAATATTTTCTAAGAGGTCAAAGAAATAGTGACAAGAAAAGAAAGCAGCTGCACAGCAGATAAGCTTTAAAATACAGCAGCTAAATAAATATGGCACAAGGATACAATAAATCAGAACGTGCTGAACCCTTAGTTTCACTGTAAATCTTTGAGAAATGAAGAAATTGCTGCAATCACATTTTCTCCGACCTTGTAAAATACTGCTGAACACTTGAGGTGAAGTTTGTGTGTCAGTGAACATTTTGTAAAAGAAGGATAGCTTGTTTTGGAAATTAGCTTGATGACACACCCTTAATAAAAAAAAAAACCCTGCAGCTAGAACCGACCGTTTACAATAAAACAAAAAAATATGACATATCGTATTAATCCCTGAATACAACCTGGTTCTATTTGGTTTTATGTGCTATAAAAATTAAAGGCTAAATCATAATTTTATACACAGGAGGACATTTGATGCCAACTATGAGGTAAAACCAAAAGGAAAAAACAAATCTCTATATAAAACCAATATTTATTAGCCACAATTATTTCTCTACCTGAAGCTGGTCTATTCATGCCAAAACAGAAGAATTGAATTTGTCCTTTTCTAGCTTTAGGATGAAGCGATAACTGACATAACAGAAAGTCACAGTTGATACAGATTTTTCTTCCCACAGAAAACATCCGTTGAGGTCTGCAGCTATACCTGAGAATTACTTTTGTGTTTTTTAATCACCACAATGATTTAGCCACAATAAAGGAGCCCATCAATGACTGACCTCTCTTAAGAGAGAACGTCTTCTGATTAGTCCGCCAAATTTAGGTAGGATCACTTTCTTCATTTTCAAATATTGGTGTTTTTTTGGGAGTTTATTGCTTCATAAAAGAAAAGCGCACACACATCAGACCATCTATCTGTGAATTTTCTTTGAACATTTTTCACCAACATCAATTTTCCTAATATGTTTACTGGCAGCGCAGCAGCTCTCTGTGGGATTTACTGTAGACACAGATGAGTCTAATGGGCAAAGCTGCTTGTAAAGCAACAGTGACTCTGCACTTCCCCAGTCTGGCTAACGTCTGCCTCTATCTACACACATACACAAAACAAAAAAGAAAATGGATGAGTTGCTTTTAAACTATGAAAACAAAACCTCTGTATGTCTACCACCCTGTTTCACCAAAACCTGGCTAAGGAAGCACACCACAGATGACGCACAGATGCCAGGCTTCCTGCTGTTGGGCAGACTGCAGCCTGTAGCTTTCACTGAAAAAGTTAGAGTTGACATCTGCTTTGATTTAAAGGTCGTTGTGCTACAGACAAACTGGATCAGTTTGACAGCTTTACAAGATGCTCTTCAACGGGACACATCTGGTACTTTCTTATCACCATCTTCCGCATCTCATTCCAAAATATAGGCAGAAGTTAAACACTTCTAAGCCTGTAGTCAGGACTGATGGGAGGAGGACACATGAGTCAAAGCAGAGGCTAGAGGCCTGCTTTGATTGCACAGGTTGGAGTGTTTTTTGAAGCTCCATCCAATGAATTAAATGAACTTGTTATAACTGGGACTTCTAACATAAATAGTGAGGATGTGTCTGTGTAGCCTAAGACCCTTCATACAAACAACAACAAAAAAGCATTTACATTTGAGGCTGCATGGTTCCTGGCTGTATAGGCAAGCCAGGAACAATCTGGCCAAGGAGAAAAAGGGCCGCTGTTCTGTCAGATGAGCATACCCACAGTCAATACGCATGGCAAGATGTTAGATTTGCGTTTATCCCTTTAGTTTTGTACAACAAAATTGGCTTTAAACTACCTCAAGGGGGTCCCTTTATCCCTTTAGTCGCACAAAAAACATTTTAAGGTCAGATCACCACACACTTCAATATACCACCAAAAAGTAATAAAGTATTTTTTTTCTAGATGACTAACGCCCGTTGAGGTAGTTTAAAGTCTATTTAAAAGTCTAAAGGTATAAGCGGGGATAAACTAAAGAGATAAATGGGTATTGATTATGTGTATGCTGGTCTGACAGGGTATGCCTATCTGACAGAACACCACTAAGCTACAGCTTGAAGCTAAACCACGGCTGCTTGATATCAAAATTAAGAAAATATCACTAAAAAGGGAGAGCAAGCCCAGCCTTTATCTAGTAGACATCTCAACAGCTAGACCCCAGAAAGCAGCCCTTCATTCCTCTAATAAACTCTTTCACATCCCACTCTGCCAAATAAGCTCTGCATGGACCAATACACCCTAATTCCTTGGATCTCTGAGGAGGATAATGCGCAGTTTCAGTATAAGTAGACCAGGAAATCTCCAGGACCTGACAATGTCTCCCCTCATGTCTGGTGCTGTTTGGGGTTCCCTCCTACCTTAAGTCCTCCCGTATTATCCCGATCCCTGATAAATACACCATCAAAGGGCTAAATGCAGACATTTTGCCATAGAATCCTTTGAACAACTTGCGTTGAAACATCTGAAGCAGATTACAGGCCCCCACCTGGACCCCCTCCAGTTTATTACTGGGTAAACAGGTCAGCAGATGCTGCAGTCAACTTCAGACCACATTTAATCCTGCACCACCATAAACACCCAATGGCATAGAACAGGTTCTGTTTGTGGACTTTAGTTTGGCTTTAAACACCATAAACCTGAATATTCTCCACCAGAAACTCGCAGAGAAGACCTCCACCAATAAACAGATCACTATAACCTGGAATAAGTGAGGCTTCTTCATCACATGAACCATAAGCACCACTGTTGGGCTAATATAGGCCACTGCGATAATGATTAGTCAGCATACATACAGAAAGTGTATTGGCTGGTCCAATGGTGTCGTCAGAACCAACTTTAGCTTAACCTGCTCAGAAAGGTGGAGAGGTTGGTGGACCTCAGGAGAACACCCTAAACACTGCCTACCCTCATCATCCTCGACAGCACTGTGTCCCCGGGGGAATACTTATAGGTCCTGGGTAGCATTCACACATAGACATCATTTAAAAGAAGGACCATGTCCTATTGCAACACAGGAAGTAAAGCCTTTCAGAAGAGCTGCTGTAATCTTCTACGGTATTATTCTGTCTGGTTTGTGCAAACTGCATACAGGATGGGTTTAAACCGCAATACAATTGGATTCGTCTGCAGGATCATCAGGGCTGATGTTCCATCCATTACTTGTACAGCAATAGTGTTCGGGATAAATCTCAACAGCTCCCATATATATTATGGCCCCAAAGAGTTTTCAGTCTTACTTTCAGGAGAGCTTAAGAGAAGCAGTTTGCAAAAATGGTAGAATGCAATGGAAGAAAAATTTGGCCTTACAGTTTACAGTTTAAAACCTGCGATGCAAAAATTATAAATCATTCTAGGCTAAGCACTGACAACCCCCCTGCCTTGAGGTTTCCAGCCTTCCTCAGATCTCTGTCTGCTCGTATGATCCGATAGCCTGGCAGAGACACGCTGGAGTCGGGGCTGCTCCTTCAACCATGTTTCAGTAAAACATTTAATACTGCAATCCCAACATTCTGGCTGGACCCTTGCTAGAGCTTGGAGATCTCCTAGATCATCTCACATCTATGATTGATGGAAAAGGTGGCTTGAATTTCCTGTTCCTCTCTCTTCTCCTTTTTCCTTCTCTGCATCATTACTGCCTCCTTTTCAACTCAACTGGTACTTGGTGAAGTATTTCTATTATTGTAGCTTTAGCAAGGTTGACACCTGCTATGGTTATACATAACAAATGTATAAAAAGCAAAAATCCTTCCAGTTGAACAATATTCAACACCAGAGGCAAAAAAACACTGAAAAAAAGAAACTCAACTCTTAAATGTACTATTCCATTACTTAAAAAAAAAATGTAAGAACTTCATTATTTAATTGTATATCTAACTGCTATCTGGGATTGTTAATTAGAGATGAACCGATGCAGGTTTTTCAAGCCGAAGTCGTTACCAATTATTTCGCCATTAAACCGATATGTACTGCCGATATTTCAGGATAAATTCTTGGAGTTTATATTGGTTCTCATTCCACCAGTTAGATGGTAAAAATGACAAATGTAAGTCAAATCAATTTAAATAATGATAATAGAAAAAACATTTCATAACAAATCACAGAAAACATTGATGATGAATAGCAAAAGGAGGGAGTGGCAATGCCTGTTAGCTGCTATACGCACATATCGGTACCAATACAAGAAAATAAAAATGGTAACAGAGGCCAAAAATCTCTTTCATTTCTATTTTTATTTTGCAGGACCTTTAAACTATCCTTCCTTAAACTACTTTATCTAGCTAATCTGACCTCATATATTCAGCAGCAGAATGTTTTTCCTTTTTTTTGTTATGGACACTTGACCATTCTTTCCATCATTTGAATATGATCAACAGTGATAAAAATAAACAACAAGCTTTCCAGTCATACATTTCCTCGTAGTGAAAACAGTTTTGCTCATGTGTGCCTTTATTTTAAAATATGCTAATTAAAACGGCACACTCAGAGTAGGGATGGTAGATGATAACAAAATGTAGAGCAAGTTCTCATGTTCTCACCTGCTGTCTGTAAACATAGCAGGCTGCTATGGCAACCATCGCTGACTCCCCGATGAAACCGGCTAACAGGGACCCGACGCCAAGCGTGGCCCCGTGGACCCTGCAGAACAGAGAATTACTTTAATCCGATGCCTTATCTTATTTCTGTGTATCAGAGTAAAAGTTCCTCATCTTTGGCATCTAGAGCTGACCCTGAGTGGCCTCCTGCACACCGTGTGCCGGTTACCTACCCCATATAAGGCAGCACAACCAGGCTGATGATCAGGACAACGATACGGAGAACCGAACTTGGCGCCAGGACGAAGGTCTTTTTCAGGGTCATAAGCCATCCAGTCAGATGAGCCCGGACAGTCACTGCAAACGAGACAAGGGAGACATTAGCAAACTGAAATAAACCTCCAACAGTTAATGATGAGGAAAGAAATTCAATAGCTCTCACCAGGCAACGGGAAGAAGGAGAAGATCCGCAGCGGCACCACGCAGAGCGCAGCGAAGGTGTACTCCACTCCGATGATGTCCACCAGGATCTTCTCAGACACATGTGGGCTCCAGAACAGCACGAAACAAAGCTAGACGTCAGAACAAACACGAATTATCTGTTGTTCAGCACACTTTATTAGACAACACTGAAGATGAATGTGGGCCTTTGAAGCGCTCACAAAGCAAGTGAGCCGGAAACCAACATTTTGGTTTCCAGAGAGGGCTGTTCGAGCACGTGTCGCATTAGCATCGACCCTCAAAGCAAAGCGATCAGGGCGACAGATGTGAAAGCTATCTGATCTGACATGAATAAAACATTTCTGTGTCAGAAACCCTCAGATGGAACCGCAAACAGTCGCTGTTCATGAAAGAGATCGTTTTACGCAGAAGAATGGCAGCCCAGCTTCAGAGGCAGGACATGGTGTCTCAACAACTGCTGCAGTGAGCATCACATTACCACTGGTGAGCAGATGATTTCTGCAGGTTGGTCAGATGAATATTCATACAGCAGGCAATCCAATTCTTAGACAAAATGCATAAACCAAAAACAACAGAATATCTACACTCTAAGAAGCATTACATTGACAAAAAAAAAAGAAATTCTAATATTAGATTTCATTCTTAATCCCTCACCCGTTTATGAGCCAACTCTGAAGATCAAAAGCCCAAGTGTGATGCTCTTAATACTGATTTAAAGGAGCCAAAAGGTTTTCAGGGCGTTTCAATCAAGAGCAGAGCAGCATAGAAACCAAACGTTGCCTCCGTTTCTTTACTTATGATACAGTGGTGAGAAAAGCAGCTCTTTGCATAAAAAGAGCTACAACAATGCAAGAATGAAATAGTGTTTACACAGGTGCAATACATTCAATAATCAAAAGGCTAATTTATTTCAGCAGTTTGTGTTATGCATATTTATTAGGCAACAGTTCAATATCTCCTTTGATTATTTCTATAATTATGGCTTTCAGCTATGAAACCATCTATTTCAGTTTCTCAGATAACAACATAGGATCAATAAAAGGATTTTTAATACAGAAATATCAACATGTTAAAAAGTATTAGCAGGAACTGCACTGTATTGGTCGGGGATCCTTTTGCATGAATTGCTTCATAAATGCAGCATGGCATGGAGGCTGTTATTTAATTAACAGCCATCAGGTCGTCTGTATTATTGGCTCTGGTGTCTCCCAGCTTCCTCTTGATAAAACTCCTTAGGTACCACAAAGATTAACACAGGAGTCGGTGTTATGTAATATTTAAATATGCAGAACATTGAAATTTATTATAATTAGCTATAACGTGAAATAATCAAAGCTGGAAAGTGTAGGAGAGGTTGATCGATACATTGGTTGGCCGATATTTTTGGTTGAGAATGTGAGTTTTTTTTTTCTTGTATCAGAATTGGCCAATACATGCATGCATGTTTCATTAGTGCATTCAGCAGCCGTGCTTTATATTGGCTCTCCTTCCATTGGCTTTCATTTTTAATGTTTAATTTGTTAATGAATATTTTGTTTGTTTTTTTAACTGAGGTCTGTGAAAAATGTGTTCTCGATGTGACATTTTTATCACGTAATTAGAGGAAGAAAAAGCAGAATCCATTGAAAGAATTGTCCCCGGCACTTATTGGGGATTAGTTAGACTGATCAAAAGAGTGAACATTACTTTTATCAGCCCTAAAAACCCTAACTGTGTAGAATAAATGGGTACAATCAATGTGCATATTTTACTGAATGTATTTTCAGGTTAATATTCTGTGGGGAAAAAAATGGCTGCTAAATAACCCAGTGTTTCCTCCATCCAGCATGTTTTAGGTGTTTTCCTGCAGCCACACACCAGACTTTAATGAATTGTTGATTAAAAGACTTCTGCAGTGCTTGATGGCAGCTTAGGAAGCAATACTACAATTTCAATCAGGTGTGTTACACCAGAGGCCCATGCAGGAGAGAGGACCCTGTAAACTGTGCGTCTTCTTCACGGCACTGAAAATATGAGACACTGAAAGGACATGAGTCGACAGTGGAAACTCTGGAGGAGAGAATGCTTAAAGTCCGTCCAAAAATGTCTCCCCAAGGCTGTCTGAAAAAACATTTTCTGTTGCCCGGCTGCCAGTTAGAGCTCCATGTGAGTTGAAGAGTTGAGGCTTGTGGAAATATTTAAAGATGGTCTGACATTGTTTTTGATCTCCTGAACCAAAACATGGCAAGAGATTACCTGCTAATGACGTAGCTTAGCCTCACCTCACCAGCTATGATTATTTTACCCTGATACAGTCACACCAGACTGAGTCAACTGCGGCATCTCCTGAACAAGCTGAGACATCCTAAACAGGCAGTTCTCATGAGTTACACCTTCCATGCTGTTCTCCTCCCCTGTCGGATACACTCCTTCTCTGCAGTACTTATTTTTTTCCTGGAATACCTCACATGAATCTACTGTCACTGCAAGTTTAGACATGAGGGGATCATGTTGATCTAGGCAGTATGTGCACATGCCCTCATGTCGTTGTTTACAGCTTTAAGGTTCCACATCTGGCGTGCCACTCTCCTCCTCCTCCTTTTAAAAGTTTAAACCACTGCCAACGATTTCCTGTTGTTCATTTGCATGCTATTAAAGGGACAAGAAGAGGCCCTGAGGTGCAATGGTTATCATGGCTGCAAAAACTGAACAGAGACTTTTTTAGGTGGGATTAAAGTTTAAATCTGCAGGTCTGCAATCCAAGAACACAGAAAAGACAATTAAAAAGAACATTTTGCAAATTGTCTGTTTCACTCAAGTTCTCCATCTATGAATATAAATGCACTGCAGGAAGGTGAAAAAATATTAATAATCTAGTCCCTGAGTTTGTTTTCCACCAAGCACATCAAAAGGAGACTAGAAAGAAGAATTTCCAACATGTTTCTGCATAGCACCTAACTGGTTATATGAGTCGTAAGAATATATGCTGCCAGTCGACTCGCACACCAAAACAACTGTAAACCTGACAAACATCAGGGCTAGAGTATGAGGAAACGACTCCACCAGTTAGAAAGTTGTTCCTTTGCTTACATCCAATAAAATCACTGTGAGACTCAACAACAATCCCTGAGGCCCACTGTGGCCATCCAGTTAAAGGGAGTCTGATGGTATTTTTAAGACCACATGAAGACGCATTGCTCTACTTGATGGAGAGCTTGAAAAGAAAAACTCTTACCCCTGTCAGGCTACATGTACAAGTCCCAAGTCTGCAACTTTAAACATGTAAAGAGGTTAAAAGTTAAAGAACTCCTAAAAGCTGCCAAAACATGCTTTTCTGTTTACAGTATGTGTCGCCTTCACATTCTGAGATGCTTTCGATTTTTTTAAACCGGTCGACATTTGAGCCTGCAGGGCAGGGTGTAGAAATGTTTTTAACATACTGACTAACATCTGAATAAGCTTTTAGTAACATTGTGGATCGTGTTTTAATCAGAAATCACCAACATGCTCAAAGACAACAGCAGAAGCACCTTTAGTCGTTTAGATTAACCTTTAAAAAACGGGTCCAACTGCTAATGTATTTTAAAGCTTTGGGAGTATTTACTAGGGGGATTTAAACCTGATGAATATCCTGCTCTCCAAGTAGCTTGGGTTGTTTTTGACACATTTTTCATCAAATGCATCAGATTTTCTTTCCCCATTAGGACAGCAGGATGCGGTTTGTGTCGATACTGAAATTGTATAATGCAGTTTTTCATCAGTACTCTCCTTCATTCCCATTATCCCGAATGTCCCAAACCCACTTCCTGACTGGTCAGTAGCTCTGCTGAACAACTGAGAGGCAGAAAATAGCAGTAAAGCTCCATCTAAATGACCAAAGAATCTAAATAATACAAAGTTTCAATTAGGGCTGCAACTAACGATTATTTTGCACATCAATTAATCTGTTGACTTTTTTTTTTTTTTATTAATTGATTAATCATAAGACAGTCAAAGTTTCCTTAGAGAGGCTTTCTACTAAATGAATGCAGGTGAACTAAAACTTTTCCACTTGAGGAGTTCTGGATAAAGCACATTGACAGACGAAAACATTTTCTTTTTATCTTAAATGCAAAATGTTTATATATATATATATTTTTTTTTTACAATTTTGATACAATTAGAGCCCTATGGGGGTTGGTCTGACAGCTAAAAGAATATTTTACAGTCTCTATACTACAGTAAACAATTAATCAATAACTAAATTAGTTGACTATTACGTCAATAATCAATTGATCTGATTAATTATTTCATTAGTTTTAATGAATACAATGCATATGAGACTCCGTGAAACAACTGCAGCGCTGCACTGTAATAAAAAAAAAAATTTAAAAATAAAAATGAAGTTAAGGTAATATTAATAACTTTAGTTTGGCGGAGAACATTAGAGAACAAAGGAAACACAGCAGACAGGTCAGAGGAAACTGAAAGAGCAGCTGCATGTTATAAAACCACATCTCAAACTTTGAATATCTCAGAATGCTCTGTTAATTGCATTATCCTGAAAGCCTTAAGCAGAGAAGCAGCCAAGAGGCCTGAGGTAACGCTGGAAGAGCTGCAGAGATCTAAAGGAGATCCGAGATGTGGGAGAAAGTGCTGTGGTAAAATGAGATTCAATGTACCGAACTAAAACACGGTGGTGGCAGCATCATGCTGGGGCACAAATTTTTGTTTTCATTTGTAATATATACATTTATTTATTTATTTTAAATTTTTTTTGCAATATGGAATAAAGGGGGTGTAAAGTTTTAAAGGGTGTGAAAACTTTTCCCTATTGAAAGAAACCTCTTACCGTGAGCGACAGGGCCAAACAGCAGAAGGTAAACTTTTTAATGTGCGTCTTGTTCACCGGGCTGCCGGCGTTCATCTTGTTGCTTGGATTGTTCTGCAGGAAAGAGGGCACATCGTCACATAGGCTCTTATCTTCCCTTAATGTATACATAACCCAGTGTAAACATTGTAGAGACTGGTTTACCTTGTCAAAGGCAGGGTAAACTGCTCTAAGCTCGGTTAACCAGCCGTAGGGCATGTGACCTACAGGGTATGTGGCTGTGAGCACGGCCACGGCCTGCAATGACAAACACAGGAAAGGTAGAAGTCATTCGCGCGCCGCCGCTTTAAATCTAAAAATACCGCCCGGCTAAATCCATCCCGGGAGCCTAACAACAGCCAGCCTGAGCAGCATGTGTGCCTCTCACTTTCCCCACAAGTTTTCAGGGATTTATCTCTGGACGGCGGCCTTGAAGCTCACTGTTTTGTCGCTGGCAACAATAGGCAGGAACAGCAGAGCCACGCAGGAATGTTCTGGAGCAGAGTAATCATGCCCTGAGTTTCCCATCTATGCTGTGAATCACCCAAACCGCTGGCAGCCTGTGTTGTCAGTCAGCTCGTTGTGGTAAACAGCTTTGTCTTGCCTCTAGTAGCTGTGCTGTTCATATGAGCCAGAAAGCTCCAGACGGAGTTTCTCTAAGCTGTGAAAATTGGTCGGCTGGATCCAAACCCAGCCGTAAAACGAATGTTTACAGTTTTGAAGGGACTCAGTGGCAGCTTTACTGATAAAAATCTATCTTAAAGTTGGAACAGAAACACAAAGAGGCGCAGGTTTGACTATAAGATGTAAATGGGACGCACCTTCGTGGCATCTTCGGACCCCTTGAGGTCTCGGGACACAAAGAGATTGACGATGGGTCGACTGATGCGCTGCGTGGCCAGGATGAGGGCCAGAGGCCACCAGAAGCTCAGCATCTTTTTGATTGTAGAGTCACCCTGCAGAGAGGAAAATATATCATTTAAAAGAAAGATCTTTAACCTGATTTTGATCCTTCACATCAGGTATAAACTGCATTGGAAGAGAGAGAGAGGGTACCCCAACGTCGAGCCCGCTGGACTCTGGGATGATGTCATGAATGTTGCAGTAGTAGCCGATACCGACGATGCTGAAGCGGACCATAGCACCCATGTAGAGTGAAAGGATCGGAATGAGCAGCGGCTCCACACATTCCAAGTTACTGTGCAGGAAAATAGCCACGAACACAATCTGCAGGATGCAAGACGACATTAAAAAGACAGGAGGCACAAATTTAACATTAAAAAAAAAAACACACATTTTTTGAAGTAATATTCCTGGCTAAGCACTTAATAGTGGAGGACTTTCTTGAATTTTTGAAAAGACCAACCCTCTCCAAGCATATCAGCAGAATGATGGACAATTAGGAGGACCACTTATTTTGAGGATCCACCCGGAAAAAGAACATCCTCCACTATACCTTTAAATATCAGAGAAGAACATCCAGCCAATCAGATTGAGTCGTCCTACAGTAAGCTGACTGATAAGAGCTCCAGGATAGATTAGTGAGGATAAGTAAAGGAAACGTTGATCTATTGCAGCTGATATCATCAACACAGCTTTTAATAGCATCGTTTCATGATTTCCTGTTATTGTGCAGCTTAAAATACAGAAGGATGGATGGAGCGTTAGGTTAACAGGATAGGGTATTAGATCAGGAATTATCTTTTTTTTCCATGTTTTCAGTCCTGGTAAAAATCCCAAATTTAATTAGATTTTTTTAATAAAATGAAAAAAAAATCCAAAGCTACTCATTACCTGAGCCACAACATCAGAGATGGAGGCAGAGCCCACAATGACGCTGTATTTGTGCTTAAGGAGGATGCCTGCATGGATCCATGCCTGGAGGCCAAAACAGGTGGACAGAAAGGTTATTTTCAGATGTCAAAAAAGAACATTTCTATTAAAGTGACTAACATGACAGAGGATAAAAACCTTTCTAGGTCATGTGTGGCTTAATCCTGCGTTTTTCTGAAACACTCACCATTGCATCCAGCAAAGGGAATGCAGCGAGGTATAAGAACGCCTTTCTTGTCTTTTTCCCAACAGGTTCATCCACATGGTGGAGTTTATTGATAATGTAATATCCCAAATCTGTGTAAGCTGAAGGGGAAAAAAATGGGATAGAAACGATATATTAGCAGAATAAAAATCTCCTATTCCAAATTTTCCCAGAGGAATAAAGCTGTCAACAGAACAGAATAAATGTGCACCTATCAAGATGTGGAGGGTGAAAGCGATGACTCCGGCTATCAGCATGCAGAGCACAGCCTTCCTCCGGTCGCGCCTGCTGTTAACAAACACCAAGCCCACGTTCTTGAAGTCGCTCATGGGACCAGTGAAGAACTTCATCAGGGAGTAAGCCAAGCCATAGCTGGCCAGCATCTCCACCGTGTCCTCCTTGACGGTGGCTATGCCCCTGTTGAGAGCCTGGATGTTACAGCGCGGGAAGGGAGGAGAGCACAGAGATAAGGACAGATAAGTTCATCTCTGAAACAGACAGCAGCTTCTTCTAGAGAACCTTCTGAGTGTAATCCCACCCTAAACTCTCAGCTTGGCAGATTACAACAACTACTTCCAGTGTTTTCTATATGCATTTTATGTTGCAGCTCATGTAAAGATGACGATACATGGAGGTCCTGAGGCTCTGGGTAACTCTAGAGGAGTTCAACAGCTAAGGTGGGGGATTTGTTGACAAATCTAGCCTTAAAAAAAAAGCTTTAAGAAGTTTTGCTAGTATAAAAAATATATACCGGTATATATATTTTTTTTTTTATTTGATGAGACCAAAACAGAAGATCAGTGCATATGGTAAGTTGCTTGGTAAATTAACACATAAACGCTGAACACATGGTACCCATTGTGAATCATGGTGGCAGTGGCATCATGCTATGGGACTTTTTATGGTGAAGCTGATCAGACATGAGTAAATCCATAGAGAAATCATGTTATAGGTTACAACAGATGAAAGAAAATAAAGAAACATCTTCCCTAAACAGAGCTAAAATGGAATGGTTTCAATTTAAAGCAAATCCCTGTGGTGGAACAAACTCCAATCCAGAAATTGTGAGGAGAAGTAAAAAAAATAAAATAATGCTCACCTATTTTGCAAAAAAGAATGGGCACAAGCTGAAGCTAGTGGAGACAAACCCAGGTTATATAATAATAATAATTGAACTTAATTGATCTCTGCATTTAACCCATCCCCTTGGGGGGCAGTGGGCTGCCATCGTGCGGCGCCTGGGGAGCAGTGTGGGGTTAAAGGTCTTTGCTGAGAGACTCCCATCTACACAGTATTACATGAGCTAAACACAAACAGACATTTATTTGTAAACTATTCTGGAATCCAACAGCTTAAAGACACCGTCCCCACTATAAAACACGGGGGTGACACCATCATGCTGTGGGGGAATAATCCATTTATATCTCTCCTCTAAACAATGCACCGTAAATCCCAATAAAGCACATCAAGGATGCATCGTTAAGGCTAAAACTATGCAGAAACGTGAAGGAGTGGATCATCTGAAGAGTCTTGGTGTGAGTTATGGTTATCTCACAGCAGAAGGCAACTTCTAACAGCCCTGCAAACAACTGGTTATCTGGATGCACAGTAAGAAGGGCAGATTATACCTTCAGCTCCTTAAAAACACTTTAACTTTAACTGTAGCAGCAGCTCCAACAGCTGCCCCCCATTTTCCCCTCTTCCCTGTTGTGTGTGCTATTTATACCATCCCCACAGAAGCATTACATAAGCATAATCCTGACATCTCCAAGCCTCAGTCTGCTCTAAACCATCAGATAAACTCTGAGGCAGGAAATATGATCATCACAGACCTTAATCTGTGTTCTTAAAAAAACCACAGATGACTCAAGATACATAAACAGATAGAGGGAGGTTATCCTGAGAGAACTGGGGAAAAACCCAGCAACATTTAACAAAAGCAGTGAAATCTATAAAAATGAAGAAAAATAAAAAGAAACAAGTTTTTTTTTTTTTGTGAAATACTGGCAGCTGTGAGGCTGCTGGCTAGGCTAACTGCAGACATATATAAACAGAAATGTCTGCTAAAATAAGCACGGCTGGAAATATCTAAGGATCCGGGGGTTGGAGGGTTTGTTATCCAAATGAAAGCCGAAAACAAGGAAGCGCGCGCGGGGGAGAGGAGTTACCTGTTCCCCGAGGTCGATGGCAACATTGGTGATAGCCAGAGGCACCAAGAAGCGGAGGAGAGGCCAGTAAGCACTGAGGGATGGGAACTCCACCATAGTACAAGCAGCCGGGAGGACAGAGCAGCGAGCATCTGCCTCTGCCTTGGTTGGTGAGGAGGGGGCGAAAAAAATCAAAGAATCTGAGAGGAAGTCCGCTAAAAACGGGTGTTTTTAGGAGGAGGTAGCGGCAGCGGCGCCGCTGCTGCTGCGGCTGAGATCCGAAGGTCAATGAGGACCTGAGAGAGGCGCATCTTCCTTCAAAATCATCTTGGAGCGGAGGGGGGAGGAGGAAAGGGAGGAGGGGGGACCCGCAAGGTGTTTCTGTGGATATGAGGAGGTAAAAACAAAGGCTGGATAAGTTGGTTCAGTAGCTCCGCTCCTCCTCATCGGTCACCAGCCTCCTAGAAGACAGGAACCCGCTGCGGTCTGACCAGCCGCAGGTGGGCCTGGCATCACGGTGACATCAGCACGCAGAGACAGACAGACAGAGAGCAACAGCTTAGGTCCTATAGAACAGGCCCAAACGTTCATTTCTAATGCAGGCAATAGAAAAAAAAGCAAACTCTGCCTTTTAGCCAGGATTACTCTCATTAAACGAGTCAGCTTTATGCCGCTAGATATGATGTTTTTAGTTAAAAACGGATAGTACTTTGATCCCATGAACATAAAGTTACCTTTTACCTACAGTCTGAGGTTTTGTTTTAAGGATAAACAGCAGATCTCACGTCTAAAATGAGTGAATGTTTGCCAAATACTGACACCTGGTGGACAGTAAAGGTAGAACATTAGATAGATGATGATGACGATACAGTAGATAGATAGATAGATAGATAGATAGATAGATAGATAGATAGATAGATAGATAGATAGATAGATAGATAGATAGATAGATAGATAGATAGATAGATAGATAGATAGATAGATAGATAGATAGATAGAGTGATACCCATATTCTCCAACATATACTACTTTCCACAGTGTTTTTCGAGTTCCTCGAGAGCAAAAGAAAATGCTAATCATAAAAAGGAGGAATTTGTTCTTTTAAATTGTGCAATATGTCTAAAACTGATAAATAGGCAAAGTAAAGACTTAGAGATGCTAAAGTGGCCCAATATAAAATGTTTTGGGATTTTTACTGGTGCAATAAATGTATAAATATGTTCCCGGTGGCCAAGAGGGGGCCAGTGTGTTTTTATGGGGGGCCAGAAAAGCATGAAACAAAAAACAGGGCAAGGGATTCAAATACACTTCTGCATGAAGTGAAATTTCTATGCAATTAGGTTTAATTAAAATTCTATTTCTTATGAGGTCAATATACATTCATAATTTAGGAATTTTACATATTTTTGACTTAATTTAAGTTAAAATTACAGTTGTCTATAAAATCTGAATTAAAACTCAAGAAAAACTGATAAATTCAGCCCTTAAAATTAGAGCAATTCGTTTTGAAAAAAATATTTAGCAGAGGAAAACTGGGATCCTATCGCAATACCACTGAAGCTATCACCTTAGTTTTAAAATAATTAGTAACACAGAATTTGTAAAGAAAAAAAATGAAATAGATCCAAAAGACCTATCAGTAACCATGTCAGTTCCAGCGCATATCATCATTAGAATTTCTTTTAAGTTTTATGGCTTCAGTACAGGGGCCATAACAGGGGCCAAGACATGATCTACAGGGGCAATGGCCCCAGTTGGCCCCTATCTAGAACTGCCCATGCATGGCTGTTTGAGTGGTTATCTTTGTTTGTTTTTTCAGCTTTTTAGGAAGTCAACCAGAGCTGTAGGGCTCCACTTTGTCTCTAAAGCATCCAATAAAGACAGGTTTTAGTTTCTCCTCTCATATAATTTCTTGCTGTTGTATGATTGCAGGGGGATTCATTTCTGTTTGCCATGATCTTACCTCCATGGTGGACATTGCATCTTAAATATATGTTCCACACTGGATTATACTTTGTTTATTAAATGATTTGTGTTCTGTAATTTGTAGCCATAAATTGCAAGGATAAATGTTTTATTTATACCTACCAGGTGTAAATTTCAGAGAACTTGATTACTTAAAGTTTTACTTGTATATTTTTTTTGAAAGAAAAAAAAAAGTAAAAAAAAAAAAACAAAAACAAAAAACATGATAAATAAAACTGGTGGTCCAGAAATGTTAAATCTCTTTTTTTTTGCTTACAAAGTATTTATTTTGAGGGGGAAAAAATGTGAGGCTTTAATGTAGGCGTTAAAGGTCACTTTTGAACGTGGGAATACTTCATGACAAAACCAAAAAAACAGCCAAAACAAATCTTAAGAGAAGGTGCGATTGCCAGTCATGTGTATAAGGTTCAATTATGGTCAACAACAGCCAAGCTGTTTTTCTTTGTTTCTGGATTGTTTTTGTTTTCTTTTATTACCAGATTCCTGAGTTCCTTAGTGTAATTTGTTCAACCGCTGATGGCTGTGAGAACTGACAGTAAAACGCTCTTACACAATCGTCAGTCAAAACATGAACTTGTTGCTGCCTGAGGGGATCTGCGGTACATTTTAAAAGGTGACACTAGCTTTTATGAGAGAACATGCCTTTTCTATTCAGCTGTTTTTCAGGCCAGATGTTTGAACAGCCAATACCTGCAAGCTAACTCAGTGGGTTGGGCCCCACAGTGCTATTCCTCAGCAATGCAGGACGATTTGGAGAACTTTACTGCAAATTATCGGCAGTACCTTGCATTTAAATACAGAATTTGTGGTTTTCTTGTAAAATAAATTTGACATTTTGAAATGAAAGAGCAAACTAGTTGATTGGTAAAACATGTTTGACTGGTCTAGATTGTGCAGCTTTTCTAGTGTTATCTGGATTTGCTCTTGCACTTAAAAGCATTAAATATGCTGCAACATGTAGTTTATATCGTGTAAAGTCCCACGGTGTGCCACTCTTATCCTATGCCCATTTTAGCAGAAGGTTGAGATGCTTTATGGGCAGAGGAGAATAATCACTTTAATTGTTGCTCTGTTTTTCCATGATTTTGTCTTAAATAAATTTTAAAATACAAGTTTTTCCTAACAATAGATAACCTATCCCTTTGTACACTTTTAATTAATAAGGTCTTTTAATATATTTTAGTTATTTCTGCCAACATATAGTTCATTACAATAAAATAAGGAGATTTAAATCAAGTTTTCAAACATAAAAGAGAGACTGCCGGTCAGAGACTGGTTCCCCTGAAACACCAAAACAGAAACTCAGCAGTGTTTTTCTGGTGCAGTGCAGAGAGAAAAGGTCAGAGCTCTGTGTTGGAGAAGGAAAGCAGCATCTAAACAAAGCCGTCACACAGCCAGCTACTTAGGGTCAAGACTAAGCGGGTCATCTGCATCACATTAACAAAGGACACTTATTTGAAGACAGTGATGTTCTTTGGAAGATGAGTGGTTCCAGACAGGAATGAAATAATCTCTATTTTTCAACACCTACAGTGCAACCTTAACATGACTGCCCAGATGGTTTATATAAAAAAACATAGAACAGAGTAAAGACCATTGAGTCATGTGATCTTAACAGCCTCATTACTGACCTAATTAGCTCCTATAGCTGATTGTTCTAATTATAATTGGTAAGCATGATACTTCAAAGCTATGCTCAAAACTAACATTTAAAATAGAAGGTGATGAATCTTTAGGGGACGAGAGAAGAAATCCAGTTCTTTCCTATTTAAGCACCAAGGGATATAAATATGATATTTAATAAAAGAAAACAACATGGTAAGCAATCCAGCAGCCATTAATGTTTCTTATTTTAACTAAATCTAGATTTGCCTTAAAACAATCTTTTTATCAAATCAAAACATTATTTGCACTTATTGAAGTGCAGTAATTAACAAAAGTCAAGCATTTCATAACCAGCTTTGGATATGTTGACATGACTTTATAAATGTGTAAATTGATGCATGACAATAGGAAACCTTTGAATCTTTATTGGGTTTGCACTCTCAGTCACTCTGAGCTTCTATGGTTCAGCAATATTTGAATAAATAAATATATATATATATATATATATATATATATATATATATATATATATATATATATATATATATATATATATATATATATATATATATATATGCACCTTTTTTAATATGCTAATTGATATCTGCTAAATCTTGCCTTTATTAGCATTTTGCAGCAGAAAAGCAGCTGAAAACATGCCGGAGAAAAATTTTGTATGAAAGGCATAATGATAATGGAGGAAAAAACCTACAAAGCACACACAAAACTTACTTCTTCAATAGCTGCCACTTTCTAATGGCTAACAATAACTGCTGAATAACAATACATATACAATACCACCTTTATTCATATTTAAACATATTTATTATTCTGCACACAACCATCTTTAACAATTTTATGATGTCACTTCATAATACCTTACCTGCTAATATTATATAAGTAAACAAATATATATATATCTTTGTATTTTATCTTTTCCATCTTATTTTCCCTATATATTTTTACTTTTCATATATACTTTTATTCTTTACATCTTTTTCTTGGCAACGAGAGCACTGCAAAAATTATTTTAATGTTTCTGAAATGCTGCCTGTCACAAACAAAATATCTTGAATCATCATAGGGAACCTTCTGCCATCTAGTGGTCAGATTGAGCCATTACAGCACCTCGTTTTTTTTTTCGGGTTGACGTTCACTCCAACATAAAGCCTAAAGTTGCTTAATGTGGATAATCAGATGTATTTCCGTATAAGTTTTAAAATTTTTATTCTGCTGTTTATAATCTTGAAATTAATGTACCCCTGCGGAAATATTTGTCCATTATGTCAATTTTTCATCATTAAAAGATAAAATCATGATATCTATGTAATAAGTTGACAGTATTTCATTTAAAATACAACTTAATACTTCCACTTTGAAAAACTGCAGTCTATTGCCCTGCAGTAATATTTAGAAAATATTATAATAATCTGATTTTAAGCCTGTAAAATCATTTGGAGCAGAATGATGTTCAGAGAGACAGTAAATGAAAGTTTAAAACGTTTTTACTCCAAACATGCAGGAGATCCTGCAAATAAAATAACTGGAAGTCAGAAAAATAAACACAAATTAAGTGGACATGTTAAAAAAAAATCTACACGTAAAGTTTTTTTGAAGGTTCAAAACAACGGATCTCTAGAATTGCTTTTAAACTCTTTAAATATATGGAAATCTCCATTGCATCATTGGCCACTTATCTTAAAAATGTGACAGTATTTTCATTTCATTTCAGTATTTCATAAAGAAATAATTAACTATAGTCATACTCAGTCCAAATATGCACTAAGCCACAACATTATCTCTGCTGTTAATACAGATAATGTTCTACAGCATGAAACACCTCTTATTATAACATTTTCCACTACTGAGCTTACAGGCATGAGTTTCTCACCTTTCCTCTTTGTGAAAGTCTATTC